GTAATTTTGTTGGTTTACCTTAGCTTAACAAATTCATTGATGTGAATTGTTTCTTTATGTCCAGGTAAAAGTTCCTTCTTAATTTCAGTTCAAGATGGATTACTTGTAAAGAATTATGTCCAACCTGAGCATGGTTTTCTATATATCTAGTAACACTTAAATTCATAATACCAAAAAACTAATTTAAAAAATTTTTTTTTTCAGGTCCATTTCTATCTATTTGGATACAATCAATATTTTCATTAGAATTGCCACAATTTTAGCGGGAGGAGGATCTCGCAAAAAATAAGTTGGACCATTCTTTACAAGATACTATTTATTTCATATATAGTGCAAATTCTGTATATAAAAATTTATGTAGTTTATACAAGAATAAATAAATCATCGTGGTGCAAAACTAACACTGTTTCTAGTCTTTTACAATATTTACATGAGCTCTTGAATTCGGACAGTTTTACGAACTGCGTTGCTATAGCCTTCTTTGAAACGAAACCAAATTTGTGTTTTCTGAAATCCTTTATCTGAAAAGAGAAAAAAGTCAAATAAATTTACACAAAATCAAAATTTATCTGAAATATTTGCTCACCATCATTTTACACGGTTGGTTGAGTGACTGCTAAGCCATACACAATCCTATTTGTAGGTAATTTAATATTTGTTTCATTGCATACAGAAATGTGTTAATAAAGGTGTTGAACAGAATATTTTAGCAGTAGAAGTATTAGTATTGTTTTGAAATACTACACCTATTGACAGGGATTTTAAAGTAATCAGACCCTATACAATCTGGAATGCCTATTATCTATATACTAGTTGCAAGGACCCGCTTCGCTGGGCAAAAAGTAATGATAGTGAAGATTAACATAATAACATTATAGCCAATCTTACCCGTTTTCACAGAATGCAAGAATTAGGTCCCCCGTTTCTATTTCTGAATGTCTCCTGTTCACGTCCAGTCAAACGAACTATTTTCAACGTTTCTGGAATGTTTACAATCATTCTATAATTGAATCAATATTCGAATTAAATTCGAACATAACATTCGAAATAGAAAACCACTTTCAGCCCCATATCTCCCGCACCCTTATAGCTATCGAGACGCAACCCCCATAGTGCACGAATGGAGACTTGTGGCTACCACCACGTTCAAACAGCATTCACGTGCGATTTGTAGTTTTGGCGGAAAAGTGACACACACACGTCCATTTTTATATATATATAAATGGACGTGTGTGTGTCCCTATATTTCACTTTTCCGCCAAAACTACACATCGCACGTGAATGCTGTTTGAACGTGGTGGTAGCCACAAGTCTCCATTCGTGCACTATGGGGGTTGCGTCTCGATAGCTATAAGGGTGCTGGAGATATGGGGCTGAAAGTGGTTTTCTATTTCGAATATTGGTTCGATTATAGAATGATTGTAAACGTTCCAGAAACGTTGAAAATAGTTCGTTTGACTGGACGTGAACAGGAGACATTCAGAAATAGAAACGGGGGACCTAATTCTTGCATTCTGTGAAAACGGGTAAGATTGGCTATAATGTTATTATCTTAATCTTCCCTATCGTTACTTTTTGCCCAGCGAAGCGGGTCCTTGCAGCTAGATTCTAGATTACTTAGAAAAACAGTGTTTTATATATAAAAACTTTATTACATACAAATGTATGAACAAATAAAAAACCCAGCAAAGCGGGTCCTTGCAGCTAGTTCTGTATAAAAGCTTAGATTCTCTCACCAGGTTCGAATCACTGAACAAGCATGCCTATACGACAGAATTTGACAAATGTCACATCATCACGCTAAAAGGAAGCAAGATGGTAGTTCTTAGAACAATGGATGTGTCATGGCAGAGACATCATTGCAGGTTGTCTCTTGATCAAACATCCATGGTGGAAGCATTGCAATCCTTTCCTGAAAATTTGCTATACATCTTGCCATTAGCACCCTAACATTTTTGGCATGGAATAGTAGCAAATCTGTTTAATGTAGTGGTCATCCTGTTCAATTCCACTTTTACCATCAAGTGGCACACTTTTCTGCTGGCTCCCCAGATAAATGGTCATACTATTGTCATGAGATGATTTATGTGCCTTGTATGTTTAGGAAATTTTGCGGCCATACACAGATAGGTGTGGCAACGTGATAGATTGAGATATTCTTTGGAAACCCTATTTAAGGGACTAGGGATGTAACTATTACAAGCATTTTAACTTATCCATGTTGGATGGTCACACTATAGACAATATAAGTAAGGGATGGTCTACCACCCCAAGATAATTACGGAGTTTGTAATGCAACCTCATATTGATAATGCATCCACAGTAGGCTCAGAAATAACCATCCTGCAAGATATGCTTCATTTTCAATTTGTAAAGAAAAAATACAGCATCACTGTCTCCTGAAGGTAGCAAAGTTTTACTGTATAACTCAAAGCTCCAAGGGACAGGAAAAAAGTTGAGAGAAAAATGCCTATTCCAAATAGATTTGTATTTTTGTCTCTTTTACATTATATAAAGAATCTTCGATAGTTCTTTGGTTTTGGTTCCATTAGTTACACAGATAGTTTTGCAGGTACCGGTACATCTTGTTGAGATAAAGTGAGAAGGCCCCTCTCTCTCTTTGGACTGGAACATTGCAAATGAGTGTTGGACAGTAGATACAGACAACTGTCTGAAAATTTCAAGGAAATTCAATAATTGGGATCACTGAATAGAAATTTAATGAAGAAGCAAACGTTTTCAGCCAAATCTGTTGGCCATCATCAGGCAAAGAATATTCGAATATAAATAAAATAGAACAAAAATTTAAATACAAATAAAAATAACGAATGACATTATATATATATACATATATATATATAATGTATAAAGAAAAATAAAATAAAAGTTATTCTTATAAATAACAAAATATGTATAGGATAATTAAATATTAAACATTTAATAATACATTATATGAAATTCAATAAAATGCAAAAATGCTAAAATCAAGGCATTAAATTAAGAGCTCTCTAATCATTTGATTAAGTATTTCCAGGCTGAAGGCAACCCTTCCGAATCTCTAGAATAAAATGGGGACCTAACTTTGTCCCAGAAATATATGGACTAGATTCTTTAGAAAAAATACCTCCAATGTTAAACTGTCATAAAAGACCAGATGACTTGGAAAAAAGGATGTGATGCCAGTAAATAAATTAAACTTACTAAATGGTGGCTTAGAAAAACTGATTTGGTTACAACAAGAGTAGACAAAAGCAAAACTTTGGTAATCATGAAAAGGCAGACATATAATAACACATTGAAGGATTATATTAAAAAACCAAATGCGAGAGTGTTGAAGCAAAGATTATTGACAGCATCGACAGAAGGGTTAAGAAGCTTGAAAAAGCTAAGCTCGCTAATGCCTTGCCTCACCTTTCCTCAAAAATTGTCGGAATCCCAGGCCAAGTATGCCAAAATTGTTTGCTTTTGCCAAGACCCATAAAGAGGGTAAATAAATGAGACCTATAGTGGAAAGGTGCAGAGGACCAATGTTTATTCTTGAAAAGAAATTACATAAGTTTCTCACCTTGCACAAGATCCAAGGGAGGTGATTAATGAGATACAAGACCTAATTTTAATGGACGATGAAATTGGAACTGTGATGGACTATCAAAGTTTATACCCGTTTATAAAAATTGAATCATGCAGGTTAGCACAGCAAGAACCCAGATTTGGCATGTTACAATAATGATTTGATAGAACTAGCTAACCTTATTTGTTATGAATCTTTTTTCACCTTTAACGGCCATCAGTACAGACAAAAAAAGAGGAGTCCCTATGGGAAGTCCCACGTCAGGACTGTTATGTGAGCTTGTATTGAGAAAATTGGAAAAAAGTGCTCTTTCTGTTTTCTTAAATGACACGTTGACGATGTTTTTGTAGTTTGGAAGAATGACCAAAAAAATCAATGACTTTATTAACAAGATCAACAACAATGATGGCCTCATGCTGAAGATTGAACAGAAATGTGCCTCACAGATACATTTTTTTGGATATTGACATTGAATTCAAAGAAGGACATTTGGCCACTAAGGTATACGTAAAACCGATGCATAGCCCTTTGTACATTCCGTCCCACTCTAGTGATCCGTACCAATACAAAATGGCCTTTCTCTATTGCAGTAGTGTGGTGGATAGGCAAAAAGAAATTAATAGAATATTACATATTGCCAGATCTCTAGGATACAGAGCAGATATGTTAACAACATTGATCAAAAATTACAAAAATAAGGCTCAAAGCAGAGATTTTGACAAAATCACAAAGTTCACTTATGATAGAAAGAAAAAAGCCATCATGAAGGAAATCTCAGCCTGCAAAAAGTCCAAGTTAGTTTTCAAGAGAGATCCTAACCTGTACAAATTATTAAGGAAAGACAAAGACAACATTGATAAAGAAAAAAGAGCATGGGTGTACAAGGTTCCGTATGAAAATCGTGAACTAGATATTAATAAAAACTACATCAGTGCCACTAATAGAAACTTAGGAGTCTGATTAATTAAAAGAACACAAATACAATATCAGCAAAGGATCTAACACCACAATACTATTGCAATTGGCGCAAGTTGAAGGCTCAGTCGTCAAATGGGATGAAGCAAGTATTATTAAACCATTACATTCACCGAAAAAATTGAAATATATAGGAGCAGGTTACATGATGCATGCATTAATTCTAGAGATTCGGAAGAGTTGCCTTCGGCTTGGAAATACTTAATCAAATGCCTTGATTTTATTGAATTTCGTATAATGTATTATTAAATAACAAAATATGCATAGGATAATTAAATATTAAAACGTTATTTATAAAAATAATTTTTATTTTATTTTATTTTTCTTTATACATGTATGTATATGTATATATATATGTGTCATTCGTTACTTTTATTTGTATTTATATTCGAATATTCTTAGCCTGATGATGGCCAACAGATTTGGCTGAAAACTGCTTTTTCATTAAATTTCTCGGCAAATTAATGTGTTGTGTTTTTTTGATTTACATACTGCTGAGTGAGTGTACCTCAATTTGAATATTAGTCATTTTCTTTCTCCAATTACAGCCTAGAGATTTACATGTTAAATTGAATTGGTTAACTCAAATGGGATTTTGATACAGTATTTTCATAAACTCTCCTGAATTTTAATTTAAATAGAAAATTATTTTAATCCTAAACTATAAAGCATGGGAACCATGTACGGCTAAAAATAAACACGTCAGGTTCAAGTTGTTGACTTCCAGACACTAAAAAGAAAAAAAAGGCAAGTTTGAATGGCACTTAAATCTATCAGCAATCAAACAAAAATTTTTATCAACTAGCTGTCATAATGTTTTAATTGATTTGAGTTGTATATCAAAAATCCAACAATTGTATAAATTTTTCCACTTAAAATCATTACATAATTTCTTTTTATCACAATTAAAAAAATCCTTACCCAAGAAGTGAATGGATAAACCATTTTCAAGTTCTCAGACAACACCTAGAGGTTTACATTTACATTTACATAATGATTCTATATAGTAAGACCTGTGGAAATATCATATGGCCAATTTATTATGGATCACCAATAAACCAATGAACAATATCTTAATTTTTAGCCAAACCTCCATAACTCAATTTTTTGACTCAGTCCAAATTTTCTTCCCTGACTGATCTGAGTTAACCAGGTTTCACTGTATTTTGAATTGTAGTCACCCGTGCCTTGTACACAAAAGTAAAAATCTTTGGAAAAACTATCAGTGCTTTAAGCACCTTGGCAAAGTGTTTTACAACTGTGTTTGTCACGTTCCCAGACACCAGGTTGATCTTGTTCAGCTCTGCAATGTATGTGCAATCTCGCAGAAAACCAAAATGATTGATTGAGAAAATTATCTTCTGTCTGTCGGAACTGTATCAAATCCATAATGTAGAGAGGGCTGAGGATAATTGTTCGATTTTTTTAACATGCAGCACTAAGAAAGCAATGCAAATTCAATATCATCATTTTATTGTGTCAATCACTGAAAAATTTGAAATGATAAGCTGAATATTGTTTTTTTCCTTTATCAGTTACTTAGTCCCAGAACTATCCCTATATATACAGAGTTCAAAGGAAAGTCTGTACATACCCCTATAACTTTTAAACCATCTGCTATAGTCCACAGAAGTAATGGTACCTAAAGGAAAGTGACCATGCACAATCAATTTTAGTACTCCTAGTGACAAAATATTGCATTAAAGAAAACAACAGAGAAAGGGAGGAAAAAATCCAATTACAAAATGAAAGTGTGTTGTTTAACCCTGTATAAGGCAATATATGTGAAAAACAAAATCAATGGAAATGGTGTAATGAGGTTTTACTACGTATGATTGAATTTTTATACAAAAAATGTGCGTGTCTCAAATATAATTACATCTATACCAATACAACAACAAAGTTAAATGTTTTATAACCCAAGCATGTAACATCAAACTGTGAAAACTAAAATGTACTTACGTTTTTTCTTCTCGGAAATATCCACTTTCCGACCAAAGAAATCGAGATTTGGCTGTAAAGTGAAAATAACTGGTATATCTTATGATACCTTAGTATAATTTTTATGCAGTGACTTACTCGAATTTTTGTGACTTTCGGTTTTAGCTCGGAATTATCTGAAATATTTTTCGGAACAACGCTTGTTTTGACTTTTGTCGTATCGTTACTTCTCATTTTCTCTAACTCTACCTGTAAATGAATGTTAAGTTTTTGTATTTGTCCAGACAGGAAGATAAAATCATTTACCTCTTTTGCAATCAACTGTTTAGCGGCATAAGTGATTGATGGCGCACTTTTTATTCCGGGAAATTTTACAATTTCTTCAATATTTCTAATTACAAAATGAAGAAAATAAATTTTTTTAAAACTTCAGTTAAACTTTTTATTCATTTTATACTCACGGTTCTAACACATATTCGTAGGTTCCGTCGATCGTCCTCTGCTGGGAATAATTCAAATTGTAATCGATCAGAGTGTCGATTACTCGACGTAACTCTTTCCGCTCTGCTTCCGTGTACAGTTGAGTGTTCACCTGAATAAAATTTTCAATCCATATCAACTGTTGTGTTTTTGAAACCATTCACTATGGAAAATGCCTTACCGGTCTAAGTGTCGGCTGCGTTATGTAAGTTAATGGTGCAAGAAGATCCAAAATGGCAGTTTCTTTGCTTAAAAAACATTTTGCACGAACAGAAAGATCGTTATGGAACGTTGTCAGAATATTGGTTGATTTCTTCTCTCTTGATTTGAACTGAATGTAAAGTCAGTGGTATAGCTTAATTGCTCGTTCACCAGTTAATTTTATTATTTATTGTGACATCATTATAATGGTGGGCTGCAATTTTTAACCATATTTTAAATTTATTTAATCTAAAATATATGCTCTTTGCCTCAAATTAGTAGTGTCTTCCCTGTACACCATACTTTCCTGCTATCAATAGTGTTGTGCCAGTCTTCTACCTAACTCCTTTCAGGGAAAAATTTTTGCTTTGAAATAACATGACTTCCGGTACAAACTGGAAGTTCATATATAGTTAATTGGAGCCTCCTGCTCCTAATCTTTCCACATCTGGTCTTGATTTTCATCTACTGTATTTTACTCTGTTCTTGAGATTAACGAAGGACGGAGACAGACAACAGTGGGAATTTAAAAGGTCTAATTTTTTTAAATTGCAGCCCAACAATATAAAAATTCTTACCTCAAAATACGAGTTTGGAAATTTGATTTGTGGATATGACGTAGATGCAAATAAAAAGTGAAATATTACAGGTAGGTATGAAATGTAAGGTAATAGAGAATACAGCTGAGTGGTGGCAATATACTGATTCACTGTATCTGCAAAACACAACCAAGAAGTTCCATTCTCAATCTGTAATGATAAATGAAAGCATTATTAAATATAGCATTACAATAAGATTCTCTGTTGGTACAGCTTAACATTAATGTCTATGTTACGTGTAGCTGGTGCTTAAAAGTCAATTTTAAGATAGTTTCTTTTGCTCGAGTATTTGAACACTTGCCATTTCTAACCCGTAGCATTGTATTTATACTATATTAATTCTAAAATTTGACTCAAATTACAAAATATTTTTGACCTACCGCATACAAATGAGGATCTCGAAAGTTAACAGAGAGATAATTTTCAAATAGTCCTTGAATAAGAATTTCATAATCACATCTTTGGGCCATCCACAATATATTATAAAATCTATAAACACACAAAGAAGTTTTGTTTAATTACAACAACTTGAGTGGCCACAAAGACCCTCTACATGCATCTATATATATATAAAGTATTCCGCCTCCGACGGCTGTTTGTAAGTTTCCAATTACAATAAGTATAATTGGAAATTAAGTCTGAATTTTGAGATAGACACTATATTAGATCCATTGTGTACTGACTTTCTTATTAATATATTGCCAAACTGGAGAACCAGGACAATCTCATGCATAGGGACTATGTAGCCACTGTATACTTAACTTTTGTGTATTTAATTGTACCTTGAAGTTAAGCTTGTGTTATCTTCATTCACTTTATTGGATGACTCAGTAGGTATGTGACGAACATTCTGCACAATCTGTTTCCTATTATTTATGCAATGTAAATTCATTAAATTATGCTGCATAGAAATAGCATAATCATATTCTACTGACCTTTTAAGTTGTGGAATCTGGAAAATAGCCTGCCACACAGAAAAGAGACTCTTCTGAACGTCTTTTTGTCCGACCGTTAGATTCCGTACATCAGAGACATTCAACACTTTTTTTTGTTTGTTAATAAACTGAATGTATACACAATAAATTAAATGAATAATTTTAAATTCTATTTACAATCCAAAAATATCTGACAGACCTGTAACGTCGACAGACAAGAACGAATGTCATTTTCCGCCTTCTCGCACAGCGCTAGGAGTGCCGGCATATCAGTTTTTAGATGCTGTTTCCTGGAAATCTAGATAGGAATATTGTTAAATAAAACTAATTTGGGAGTAATTTTGTTTATTGGATAGATATTTTTAACTCGTTAAGACATTGTTGTCTACCTCTTGTAATCTGGAAACAAGTCGCGAAGTAGAAATAGGTGGAAAGTTCAAAATTAGAGCTATCTGTCTTAATGGTTTCAAAGACGGAGCATATCTGAAAATGGATTTTTGTCAATTAGCAATGAGAAAAACTCGCAAGAGTGTAAATATTCAACAACCAAAATATCAAAACTTTAAATAAAATGCTGTAAATTTAATAAAATAGTATTTAACATCAAATTATTTTAGGGATATTCATGACAGGAAGCTTTCCTCACATTTAGAAGTGTTACATTCTACAAAAGCTATGAACTGCAAGCATGCATTCCAACAGAATGATACACAATTCTTATTTCATCTCTGTTGGACCATTTTATTGGTTCAGCTTTTTTTGAGAATGCATTCTGCCATTTTTTAAATAGCAAAATGACACTGGTCCCTCTGTTGGCAAATTTCGATAATCGGCAGATGTTGCTCCGAGGAAGCTTTCTGTTAAGCCATTAGGTTTTGTTGCAGAACTTGTACTAATGAAAACAAAATTGGGAAAATCAACACATTTGTAAATTTTAAGAAAGCTGCAAGTCAGTGTAGCAAATATCCCTATTTTGCTGATAAAAGTTTAAATAAAAACTTCTAATATAGTATGGTTTATATCATTATGTAGTAGGCATCAATGAAGTAATGATGATGTACATTTTATATTAAAATATTACCATGAAAGAAATCAAACAAGGTATCCATAACAATTTATTATAGTAGGTTTGTTTATTGTAAGCTTGTAAGCTTGTAAGAGTGCATTGAATATCAGTGATAAAAATCACTAAACTCTACAACTGCAATATAACTTAGACTTTACACAAGCATTAGGATAGGAATGTTCCTACTTCCTCCACCAGGACAACTTTTATTACGCTTTTTACTAATGCACTTCAAAAATCAACAAATAGTTCAATTACTCAACCAGATAACCAAATGATTAGTCAACACAAAGCACCACAATTATATCCATTATGAGCAGGCCTGACCTGCAACAAAACCAAACTGAGATGAAGGATGGAGAACAATATTTGAACTATATTGTATGGTAAATCCCTAGCTTGATGAATCATCATGAGTATTAAAACATCTGCTTTAGAATGCATTTCAAATCATGTTGATATTGTTTTTCATACATCAAATGCTTCACTGTAAGTGATTATTTGTTAGTGTATGTGTAAGTAAGTATTAAAGCCCATAATTGATTAATCATGTTTTTCCATTTGTAATGTAATAAATAAACCCTAACACTACTGCCGATAACGAGATGGTCAAGAGCAGAAGATTATATTGCATTTGTAGGCATTTTTATGCATGAAATACGGCTAAAACAGAAAAGAAAAAGGCTTTGTTTTGGGAGTCAGAAACAGATTAATCCATTTTATATTGTTTCTTATGGAAAGATTTGTTTTGGATTTAGAACTAATTATGTTTATAAACAGAGGTTTTTGACTGTATATACCAAAAAGTATATGAAAATAAATTTTGCTTACATTTTATATATGTTAATGTTTAACTAGCAGCAGAGTTTAAAAAAATGACAGGCAGGGCACCATAATATTTTGCGTTAGCATGTTTAATTACATGAATGAACTGACTCAGAAGGGGCAAGTATAATAAAAATGTATTACCTGCAGCTGTTTGTAGAACTCGATTTACAGTCAAAATATACTAACACTATTATAATTTAACGTATTTGAAAAAAAACATGAACTGATGTATAAAATTACAAACAACAATATATTTAATGTAGTTAGTAAACAGTTGTGTTAATCTGTAATAAAGGCTTAATCGCCAGCAATACTTATTACTCGAAATTAAAAATTATAATAAATTCAATACTTTTCACATTCATATTCATAAATTTAATGCTAGAAGTCTTCAACCTCAAGACCTGAGACAAGAAAAGTAGAAATTTTCTGCAAATTTATGGATCAGAAACTTAACACCTTACTTTATCACTTACAAAGTCAATAAATTGTTTTCTGTTCTCTCGATGTTCTGAATATTCTAATGAATTGGTCATTAACTGCAATCTGGATGAATTCAACTTAATTTTTCATATCAAACCATTATTTTTTCAAATAAACAAAGAGTGTAATTTTGAAATTTCTCTTATGATTTTGTTTCAAACTGAACAAAACTTGTACCTTCTCTATCAAAAGCAAGCACTCATACACATTAAGACATACTGATTCCAAACAGATCTACCCCCTTGTCCACAACTTATAAACGTACACAGGTTTGCTATCTATATTCTTCAGGAATCTCCATCTGATCTTCACTTCCAGAACTATTAATTAATTTAGATATAACCATATAAGTCGCTTGCATCACCGGGTAGCATAACTGGCAATGCATCTGCTTGGTAGGCAGGAGTTGCAGGTTTGAGTACTGCTCCAGGTCAATTCTTTTCTTACAGAATATTCTGTGTTCATTATTTACATTCTGTATTATATAAAATCTCATATACTATTATATTTCTATACAAAAATATTCTGTAAAATATAAACAAAAAATTATGATAATGTGGTTCACTTACTGATCATTACATATACATATGATAGGTCTTTTAAGGATTGGAAAATCATCTTTCTTTTTACGTCCTTTTGTCGGTCCGGTAGACTTTATAAATGACACGAGGAGATTTATAGATGGCTAAAGTAAAGAATAACTCTAATCAATAAAGTACATTATGACAAATTTTTTGAGAAAAATACTACAAATATATTGAGAACTTATATTTTCTCTTTGAAACATTGCAGGCAATGAATGCATCCTTGCTGATGCATTCATTGCCTGGTAAAGCTCTAGTAATTTTGACAAAATTAAATAAGATATAAATTTTATGTAATGACTGAATGAGAATATAGGGTTTCTGAATACATGAATAGAACAAACTGGCAAAAACAATCACAATGGCTTCTTATTTCTTTGCATATCTTTGTATTATTATAATAAATAGAGAGACAGTCAGTCGTACGACACTAAATAAACTTACAAGAGGTGCTCCATCTATTTCGTCAATTATGACACAATTTGGTTTGGGATCTTCACCAATCATTGCTTTCATCTGGGTCGATGCTTCCAATAAGTTTCTAAAGTGTTCCGGATTCCTATCGTCACTGTGGTGTAAAAAACAACATATTAGAATGGCTATTCGCGGCATATTAGCTTCATATTTAATGCAAACCTGGCATTCATCTCCACAACTTTATAACCTGCATGATATGCAATTACGTGAGCTAAGGTAGTTTTACCCAATCCTGGATAACCAGTTAGAAGAGCTACCTGAAAAAAAAAAAAATAATAATAATAATTTATTTATATATAAAATTTTAAATATTCTATAAAATTAAACATAAAAAGAAAATGGTATTCACCTTATACTGTGGACGATTTTGCTCATCTAATTCCTAGAAAGAAACTTTCATTTATTTTTCTTACAAGAAACTTGAGAAAAATCATTTTATTGTACTAACCTCGTTAATTCCAAAAGTAGGCATATGAAATTTTGAATTTTGTGTAGCATTTTGTTTAACATTTTCAAGTTTTACTTTCTTCTTTTTGAATTCTCGATTAAAAACTACTTTGTCCCATAACTTTAACCAATGAAGAAGAGTTCTGTTGACTCCCTATTGACAATTAAACATAGAAAAAAAACCATACGTTTTATTAAAACTATACTGATCAACATAAGATAGAGATTGTTAATTGCAATTAATGTATTTTCACAATATCTTATGAAGAAGTTTAAAAGTAACAGTGATTATAAAGAAATACAAGAACTTAAAAAGGTTTCCCTTTACAATTTGAGACTCCTTGACAAATTTTGATCCAGTGTAGTTTTCTACTATGGGTCTTCACCACAGAATTCCAGCATATGCTTCCCTAATCCTTTGTGGATAGCTATTAACATAAAACTATTAATACACAGATCATAATTTTTCTGGCTAGTTGAAAACAGAAATTGGAGAAATACACTTGTATTTCGTTTAGGTAAATGACTATTCTTTTTTAGAAAAAAAGAAGATAACCCATTAACTATATAAAGAGTTAGGGCTATTTACAGAAATACCAACCAATGACCTCATTGTTTCAAATAAATTATAAAAAAAAATAAATCAGATATTATGTTTATTGGAAGAAACAGCTAATCTTAGCTGACGATGCTGGGTTTTATCAGATTCGTCAAAATTCAGCAAACAAGAGACAGAGACAGTATATTTCAGTTGGACATGACATAGATCTAATTCAAAGTCTGACAGAATTCAAGATTGGGTTGAAAAATGTCTTAAAAACAAAGCCAAATCAGAAAAATGTAGCAATCTTAAATAAAAAAAATGGATCTAATAATGCTAAAGGAGATAAGCTATTTCATTTAAAATTATAGTATAAATGCAACATATTGCAGTTTACAATCAAATTATTATAGAAGATGAATGTACTCACATCATCACTCATCAGTTCCATGTAATGAAAAGGACGATATTTTTCTACCCATAACATACTATTGTCTTCCGACTCGTGAGATTTCGGAATCTGATGGTTTCCTCTGTTATCCTTTTCTTCATTTTCCAATTCTAAATTTTTCCGATAATTGAGAGAATTCTGAAATTTAAATTTTAAAATGCAATAGAATAACAAAACAATTCTAATCCACTAATCTTTCTATACCTCTTGCAATATCTTATATTTCAAGACACTTATAGGAACAGAAAGTAAATTATTCTTTTTCACATCCAAATCTTCTGGCTAAAAAAATAATGATAATAAAATTACAGAATTTTTTTGCAATATAAAATTTATATCATTAAACTATTATATTAAGAATATACCTCAGAATCAAATTCTTCCAGTAATGGTAAACGTGTTCTTAAACCCTCGGAGTTACTAACCGAAAGGAATTCTATAATTTTCCTTCTACGAATCGGTTTGTATTCTGCAGTTGACAATAAATCCTCAGACCTGTTGGCAACGGAAAAATATGATGAATCTTCGGAAAGAATGTCATCTTCTATTCGTGACTTTTTAAAATCTGCAATATATGGTTTTATGTAAGTTGATAAATATTTGATTATAAAAGATTAAACTTGTTAAGGAAGTCACTTGATCATATATTCAATTTAAGTGCCACAAATCTTTAAAAGTTGGAACATTCATAGAGTAAATGATAATACCTTCCACACTTTTCCAGCAGTGATTTATTTAAAATGAACATTTTCAGCCTAAAAAAGACCAAAAATGTTCATTTTAATTGTTATAGATCAAACACTTATTGAAAATTTCAAATTGCAACATTCTAAAGTCTTCTTTGTCATCATTGTTTTTGAATTATCATAACTCTTACTTTAAATAAATGTACATATTTTACAGTAAATATGGATAACAATACATACATATGATCTAACAATAAGTACAGATAAAATGAAATTTAACTAAAGTTAAAATAAAACGATATGCCCAGTTTTGTAAATCAATTCATTCTTCAACTTTAACAATCAAACTTATTGGCAGAACCACAGCACTCCAATAGGGAGTCCACTTTCAGAAGACTTACTTTCAACTAATTTGCATTTAGGGGAATTAGCTGTAGAATGCAAAACCCTATATAAACTCTTGCCAAAAATTATCCTATACACATGATATGTAGAGAACATTTATTTATATGGAGTTCAAAACTCCACATAATTAAACAATAAATTAGACAAGGCATTTAATGACAATTCGTATGATTTAACTTGGGAGTTTACTCACTCCCCTTTTATGATAGCAGATTTGACAGGCAGCTAACATCTCGGATCAATGAATAGATTGTTGACTCAAGGAACTAAAGAACACCAATATAGTATCAATAAAAATAACCATGTTACCACACTGGCCCAATATGCAGCAAGCCCGAGTGTCCATTTGTTGAGATGAAGTAAGAATGATCTAAAAAGCATTTGATAACCACAAGCTAAAATCATCGGAAGCCTTTGAAATGCTTAACACATTAATTAAGGGAAACTGCTTTAATAGTAGATAATGAGAACATTAGCAACTGCATGGTGGTCACTGGTTGATATTCATAGAAAACTAAAGCTTTCAGGTTATCATCATCACAAGAGAAAAGAAGAAATGATGATCAGAAACCCAATGCTATTGACTAATAACCTACTTCAGAATAAGCTCCCAAATGCTGTTGAGTTATATACTTATCATCAGGCATCGACAGAAGAAAACAATGTTAAAGAGAAGACATCAGATACTAACAGTGCATGGTTATTTCACGTTGATATATTTATTATGCATGTGAACTTTCCTATACATGTGAGAAAGCAACTACAAGGATGCTCCTTCTATTTATTTACTTATGTTAAATTCTAGCATAGAATGCCAGTCATCAACTCTACAAAAATAGAAGACTTAACTGTTTGAATCTTATTTTTCCTCGTTGATTCTTTGATGGTAGGTACTCAAAAATAATAGCATTTTCCAAAAGTTTACACTTCGAGAAAAACGGTTTGGGTTGGGATTTATGTCTGAGAAGTTTCTTAATAAGTGTAGTACAAAAACCTTTGTTTAACATGGGAATTGTGTTCCTTGACCATTTTGTGCTGGAATATCTTACATTCTAAACTTCTTACAGAAAAATATTAATACAATAATAACTGTTTTGATAGATAGTAATACTCACTCAACCTTTCAAACTAACAAAAAAACTTTAATAAAAAACATTTTCAGTCATTTTCAAAGACCTCCTTCAGGTTTACACACACACACTAAATCAAAGCAATTTAAAATTTTGTTCAATTTAGAGTATGTAAACCAGAAGGTCTTTGAAAATGACCAGAAACATTTGCTATTAAAGCTTTTCCATTACTTTAAAAGAGTGAATGAGTCTTGATAAAACTTTATTGGTAAGTCCATTACCTGTCGACTTATCGATTCCTTCCAGAGAAGTTTCTACACAAGCAAATTCTCTCTTCAAAGAACGTTTTACTTTACTATTTCTGTTAACTTCATGATATTTTTGATGAATTTTATTGATTACATTTTCAGAGTCTGTAAAAATAAAATTAAACAATCATATCTTATGTAGTTTTGCATATCTTTTAAATTATTTTACAAAACAAACACAGCAGAACATTTTTTAAAATAATGAAAAGCATAACTGTGGCAAATAATGAAATTTGCCACAGTTATGCCCATTATTGGGAGATCTTATTGGATTAAACCACACAGGGGAGTTAAAAATAGCTCTTTGACTCATGGTACCCACAACAAATTATGTGTATGTATTTAGGTTAATTTCAAAATCCATATACAGTAAGCCATCATCTTACCATCAAGTAATTTGACTAACAAATATAATCTAAAAATGATATAGAAAAACAACAAATTACATTTTATAATGTTTTCTTAAAACTTACTTTCAAATTCATTTAAGACTTCCATGTCATCGGCGTACTTTGCATCAAAATCTTCGCACGCTTCTATGTTATTTGCATTAAATTGCTCTTGTTTGAATTTCAGCTTAGAATAAACATTTGAAACTTCAGTATCTGTAAATTGAATAAAATTTGAATGAAAAGTAACAGTATTCAAAAGTAAAAATTCCTTTATTCGTTTATGAATTAAAAATATAAATTTCTTCCTTATGCGACATCATATAAGCAGTGGTCCTCAAAGTTATCAATCTATAGATACCTTAAAGTGAATCATAGATAAACTGCAGACCACTTATGCCCTTGTCCACTTCTTCTCCTTTCAATAATGGATAGATTGTACACCAAAATATTTTATCTAGCCATTAACCTAACGTAAGAGATGTCCAATGCATGAAATTTTGTTTTTTCTAGCTAAAGTATTTGATTATTAAGTTTCCTTCCTGTACATTGCATATAGTGAAAAAGTTTAAAGAACAATCCAGTATATTTGTTAAGGAAGCGTCCCGATGATGATAAAATAACTATTAGGAGTCAGCAAGACTTTCTCTTGATGATGCTTTGATGATGTGCATACAACTGGAAAGTGTTTGAATTTTCTAAAAAGCTTTTGTTCTGAGAGAAGCTTGATTAATATTACATTAATTAATGCTTAAGCATTTTCAAAATCAGAGTAAATAAAAGAATGTCAACTCAAAACCCAATTTAACTGATTAAAGCCAAACAATCTGCTGAATTATTGGGCAATTTAATGTAGCCTGAAAATAGCCTAAGAATTCAGCAGATTTTAAACAGAAATATTTACTATGATTAAAGCCTAAGAATTTGGCTTTAATCATAGTAAATATTTCTGTTTAATTATCAAAAGCTTCATCAAATAAAAAAAAAACGAGATAACTTAAATATATATATAATGTGAAGTTTAGATATCTTCTTACTATATTTTTAAGTATATTTTCATCCTAAATTCTAACCATTGTACAATGTTCATAATATTTCAATGCAAGAAAAACTTTTAAAATCAAATTTATACAAGGTAATATTTTTTCAGATGCACAAGAGACCTTTGCAGCTTTGCACACATATGCAGACAGCACATTAGTTTCATTGTGATGTTTACAGTAAAACAAATTCATTCATTTGAGAAACTGACATGTGTAAATTACCAGGTAGTTGTGACAATATGAAAATTTTCTAATCATAAGAACAAGAGATAAATCGTGCAACATGTGGCAACACATGATGCCAAAGTCTCTACAAAAGGCCAGCATCAAGCAGTCTGCTAATCATTAATGCACTTCTACATTGCCTTATACTCACAAATACTACTGTGAGGACCCAACCGATGTCCGAAATCATGTAAATCGCAGTATTCTTATGATATTCTTATTGAAATCGCAGTATTCTTATTGAATAATAACAATAGATTATATATGAGAAAGAGAGGAAAATCCCATAACTTAAACAATGCGGCACAAAATGTAGACGAGTCTCGGATGACTCCAACACATGTTAAACGAACTGTCAATGTCAGAATGAAAGGTTATAAGTCAGAGACAAGTGGTCATATGCAGGTAGAACTTTGACTCCAGTGCTCATAAACAATCATTCTAGGGAAACAATTTCGGAAAAGAGGGAAAGATTTAAGAGAGATAAATCATTGCATATGATCGTTCTAGTACCCAGATGACAGAAATTGCGAGTTGCTGAGCTAAATTATGAGCGCGAATCTTGCAATTTTGTCAACAATCCCCAAGAACAATCGACAGAAAGGCGTTGAGCAGACACCTGGAATCTGACCTTTCCCGTGTCCCGAGTCGGTCTCGGTTTTTCCCCAAACAAAAGAGAGACCAATCGGGAAGCGAGGAAGGGGACGAGGGGCCAATCAGAAGTCTGAATAGTGGGAGAAAAAAACTATAAAAATCGGAAAATCAAGGTCAGAAGAGGGTCTCCTCTGTAGTCCACGAAATATCGTGATTTAAATTGTGGTGTGTCATTGCCAAGAACTTTGGACTCCACCGCTTCCTCCTTCCGATTGTCTGCCTTGCTCAGCGACCTCATCTCGTCTGCCCCGGGGCCAGACAGACGCCAAACTTCTCGCCTCTCTGAACCTCCAACGAGAAGAACTAGTGAAGAACTGTCGATTGTCGATGTAAGCATAAATGTTAACAAATAAATGGCTTTCTTGTGTAAAACACTTGTCATCATTTGCCTCCTCCGTCACGGTCCACATACAACCTTCCCTTAGGTTCATCCTGACGCGGGATTAATAGATCCCACCTAGGAGATGGCAACCTTACACTGGCGTCAGAAGTGGGATATTTTATCCCAATCTACACCAGTTCTAACCTTACACAGGTGCCGTGGAGCGGGTTTCAAGTCCCCTATCTTCACCGGGTCGGCAACCTTACACTACTTATATACCATATATTGCTGTAAGCAATCATATAAGTAACATAATTGTAGACTGTAGTATTTGTGAGTATAAGGCATTACGCTGAATAATTAAAAGTATAAAGCACAATGCTAAAAAGATATTTTTTTGTATCTGGATAAATATTAAAATGAACACCCTGTACAGTTGTGGGTGAAGCTATGAAGAAAGATCAATTCTACTAAGGTTTAATTGTGTTTCTGTGATATGAAAAGAAGACACTAAGACGACAGCAAATTCATTTTTATCCTGGATTTTAATCACATTGATCAAACATGTGTATCTGATTAAGGAAAACTTCAAATAACATACTCACTTTCAAACTCATTCAGAACTTCCATGTCATCTGAGTATTTTGCTTCAAATGTTTCCCATGACTCCAAATCTTTCTTGCTATTTTGAGGTTCAATATTATCATTGTTCATAGTTATCTTAGTATGAAAATTTGAGTTTTCAGAACCTATAAATTTTAATAATGTAAAAAAAAAATTATGCCAAATGAATAATTTTAAATGAAACTTAACAATTCACATATTATTTATTGCTTTTATATGTTAATTCCATTTTTTTTCTTAGCACTTACTTTCAAGTTCATGCAGAACATCCATATCATCTGCATATTTTGCTTCAAATTCTTCCCATGACTCCATATTTCTTCAATAATATCTACCTTTATTTAAAAAGAATGATAAAATTGTCAAATTTAAACAATTCAAATAACTAGACTTTTGTAAATTAACTTATCATATCTTAACAAACTTTACTAATCTGGCAACAGACATTGTTAAGTGAATTCTCAAAGTAAGGCACCAACTAAGGTTACATGATGGGCCACAGTTTTGCTTGTTACAGGTGGGCCTCACTTGCTTGGTTAGTATGATAAAATTTGGAGGTTTAGATTGGATTTGAAACCAAATTCCTAACATTTACTGCTATGGAGGTTCAAGTCCACGTCTGATATACAATCTGGACATGGAATGGTGTTCATATATGTTTCATGATCTCGGGATTTTAATGTGTCCATCTAATATATTTGATAAATTGTGGATTCGTAATGAACACACACTTTTTCATACCTGTTCCAGCACACAATTTGAATAGAAGAAACAAATGTTTTTGGCTGCTTCAGTGCCCCTCATCAGCTTAGAGACATTCTTACAAAATTCAAATGAGCAGGTACATTTAAAAACAGAGAATTCTAAATTACAATGTCATTATTTATATTTATAACATATTTTAATATTACAACAAGATTTAAAAGCACAATATAAGAAACAGTACATTTATACAAATTAAACCTCAAATATAAATCAATCTAACAAGTTAAGCACTGCTTGCCATGCTAAACTTAGACTCAGTTTATCTCTATTATTAATACATTCCCCATTATGCATCTGTTTATAAACTTCAATGTTCTAAGTTTTAGACTGTTGAAAGTTTTTAGTACTAGTTTCACCTCGCTCCAACATGGGGATACTCCAGGATCATTTGCAAATTGAGCCAATGCTGTTATGTACAGTATTTCCCTAACTAGATGTCATATGTTCTTTAATTCTGGAAGTTAGTGTTCCACTTGTAGACCCTATAACTGCCAGGTGTGTTTTAAATCTTGTGTCAATTAATGGTATTCTATAATATATACCCCAGGAGAGGAGCTTGCTTGCTATAGGTTTAATTTCATCTTTACCAGTAGTTAGTAGTCTGAGTACAATCAGGCAATGAGTATAAGCCACTCTTCAATATATATCAGCTGCATTTTTGTGTACATTTTATGTAATCTAGATTCATAGTTTGGGACAATCCTTTTTTGCTCAATATTGTTATTTTTTGTATTGCCATTATTTAACTTATTCTCTATATCAGTGGTTTTACACTGGTGCGCCACGAGAGGATTTTAGGTATGCCATGAAAATATTTGAAGGTTATTAAACAAATTATTTTCGAAAAAAGCCAAAAGAACAATAAGTGTACATGTCAAAATGAAAACCTTTTTAATTAAATTGATTGTACGACTTTTCCATTGTTATTATTAATAAATGTATACATAATGTAGTAAAAAATATATATTCATAAGTAAAATTATACGTGCATAACACTAGGTTATTTCATTTAAAATGAAATTTTCTTTTAATCAAAAATGTATCTGTAATTGCCTATATTTGGTTCAAATTATTTTAATTTAGAAATAGTGGGACATTGGGAAGCTTTTTATAAAGGCAATTATCATGTCACTTTTAAATGCAAAGACTTAACGTTAATTGCTTTTCTTATGTAAATGAAAATTATTAATTTAAATAACTATTGTTGTAACCTGCTGCTATTTTAAGGAAGAACAATACTGTTTTATGTAATTCACAAAAATATAGATAAAAAGAATTAGGTTAAGTGGCAAGTAATATGATAATGCAATGACATTTTTGTTCTTTCAATAGATGACTTGCTACAGAACCCTGTTTTTTTCTCATAACATTATCAGACAACTATCAGAAGCAAATTTGTATGCAGAGGTGACCACTACATGTCTTGCCATTAGTGTCCCAATATTGTCAGTTTCATTTGCAGCAGTGTAGTGCAAAGAAGTTTGGATTGCTACAGATTGATAATTTGTCATCTTTAGCATCAAATCCTGGTTGTTTTGGAAATTTATAAACATTGCAGTTAGTTCATGGAGAATCACTGGGAAATACTTCAATCCCATTTTTACTGTTGTGTGACAGCACATTGTCCTCATTGCTGGCATACTGGTCTAGAGAGACATCTCATATGACACTTGGCCACCTCTAGTAGTGGTGAAAGGGCCATTACCAGCACAACAGTACATTCAGGAAAAATCTTGTACCCTCCTGTGTTGCAATTCATGGTATTCAAACAAACATTTTTCCAGCAAGATAACACTTGGCCACACACAACTAGAGTTTCCCAGACATGTGTCCATCATGTTACCACATTTCCTTGGCCTGCCAGTCTACAGAGTTATCACCAAAGCTGGTATCCTATCTGCGAGACCAGATAGGATGCCAGATTTAGCCATCTATGAGTGTGAGGAATCTGGAGTGGTAGTTGCAACATCTGTAGACAAATTTGTGACGAATAGCATATGCTGCTTGTATACCTCGAACTGCAACCATATTGCCATATATATCCTGGCAAGAGGAGATCCTACAAGGTACCAAAGATTTTTTTAACTTGTATCTTGTTCCACAGGAAACTATTCATTTATCATGATATACTACATAAGTTTTAGGTTAACAAGATATTATGTATCTTCATCAGTTTTTGTCTATAAAAATGTCAAGTACGAGATTTCTATCAAGCATTTATGCAAACTTCTCGATATAAACACTTTTAATCTTTTATGAATATCAACTGCAGGAATTTACTTCACAATGAAGAATTCAAGTCAATGAATGCATTCAAATTATTGATGTTACCCATTATTTTCTCACATCACATTGTTATAACTTGGTTGATGTACTGTAAGTGATGTCATTTCATATTGCAGAGTTAAAATCACAACTGTCACTACCAGACAGTTATTGCATGCTCTGTTGTCAAAGATTTACTTATATGATGTTTGCCATTATTTTAGATACAAACGATATCAGCAGCATCACTAAGATTAGTGTCATCCATGGATCTCTTTTTGTAACATACCATACAGAATTCTTAGTACTTATTATTTTTTCTATATAATACTATTACTTGTACAAGTATTATGTAGATTAAGGAAAGTTTGACAGTCACCCAGTTTGGTCAAATCTACTGAAACTGAACTATATATAACTATTCCAATAACATTTATCCTTTAATAAACTTTCTCTAACTTCTTTTCCTGTATTGGTATTTTAATAATAATAAAAAAAATTAAACATAATATTATTTAAGTTCTCTACTTATGTAAGTAATTGTTCTACCCAAAGGCAAAAGACTCTATCTTCAAAAAACTTGAAAATCATATTGTACAGTTATCATGCCTAATAAATATTCTTTATATCAAATATCCTGTGAGAAAAATGTTCCGTAATTATTAATTACGCATGATGACAAGTGTGTAATTTTTATTTCAATTTTTTTTGGAGATAGCATTTTCCCTTTGAGTAGTACACTTCATTCTGAATATTTCACCATAACTTTAACCAAAATCACTGTAAAATCGTTTTTACCTGTTAAATAAGTCTACAAAATATGTTTGAAGTTATCTGTACTATCTTAAACTTCTTTAAAAATTTTTAACAATTTCTTTTATTTTAGATGTTCTCCAGAATCTGAAATTAAAAAAGAATATGTATTTAAATTAGTAAGTTCTAAAGAAATAATCCATTAAAATCATTTGGTTTTATTCAAGTCTAAGTAGGTTAAAAAAAATTTTAGATGAATTGCTTAATTAAATTGTTTATCTTGAGTATTATAAATTAGAAAATATTCAGTAAGAAATATTCAACAAAATGCAGTTAAACAAAACAACGAATGAATAAATGTTCCCTTATTATAAATGATAGAATATGTTGACAACTGGTTCAACCAATCATCTATTTTATTTATTGAGGTCAAAAGAGGCAACTCACAACACTAGCCATTGACACTGAATGCCAATGACTAATGTCACCTTAATTTCGCTGTCCACATACATCCATCTTACAAAAATTCAGGCCTTCCATTTAGCACATATACAAGATGATCCTAAAGTCCATGTTCACCAATGGTCAAGTGGATAAAATCAAGGACACTGGAAGTTGATTGCATGTTCATGCCTCACCAACAGGACAATCACATGAAGTTTTTCAAGCTTTCTTCACAACTGTAACACCTAAATAGGAACTAGTTTCAATAGAAATTTCTCCCAAGAATCATCCACGTTTGACATTGCCATGTCCCATAAAACCAAACCTAAAGTGCAGTACACACACAATTTTATATTTCAATAACTAACGATGTATAAATATTAAAACTAAGCAGTAAGAACTATTTATGAGCCTAACTTTTGAAGTTTTTATCAATGACAGTAGAAAAGAAAAGTAAATATAGATTTGTAGGTTATACCAACATATAGTATTTTTTTTTCAAAGCTTTTATTTAGAAGTAAAATAATATGGCCAAGTCAAGTCAAGGTTTGTACCAAAAGTACAAATAAAACAATATATGGTAAAAATTGACATCAAATTTCGTGCAATTAAACTGTAGATATTGTTTCTCTTCCTTGTTTTAAATAGATAAGTACATCTGTCCTGGAAGATAAGTAGGTGCATGTAAACTAGAGAAGGTTATCAATGTTCAAAGTGATAATCTTAACATGTAAACAATGAAAAATATATCAGATGTGACTATATCCCCTATAAAAGAATAAATAAATTAAGAATTTTTTAATTTCTCTATTGTTAAAAATTTTTTGATTATTATATATTAATTCATATATGATTTTATATTCGTATATCGAATACCTTTTGTTTGTATTTTAGATAATCAATTAAACATTTGGTCCAAACACAACTAACAATGGACTTATACTGGACTAGCCTATTGATTTATTTATTTATCAGCTATTTTATCAAATTAACATTTTAAATATATTATAATTAACAGATTATAATAAAAAATTTGCTACAATACAAGTAATTTAACATATTTTATCATAGTTTTAAATTCTTACATTTCAACAATTTAAAAGCAAAGAATCCATCATTTCTGAAACAAAAATGGAAGATTACTAATCATATTTTGAATAAATATCATCAGTAAATTAATATAATAAATTTTAATTTAAAATAAAAACCAGCATTTCATTCCCTTTATGTAAATATTCCATCTGCCAGTTTTACTTTCCTGGTTGTTATAATTATATAACAGAGGGATACTATGACAATTGGTCAAAAAGTGATCCCCCGAGATTTTTAATTTTTGGACTCAAGACACCTTGAAACATCGAAAAATGCAAAATAATTTAGGGGTTTTTTTCTGTATGTATGGACGTTAATGTTAATATGTGTGTATGGGTGTGTGTGAATGGCATAATTTTGTTCATCCTCTTTGAAGTTTAATAACTCCTGTGCTTTTTGTTGAAAATTTCTGAAATTTTGCAGGGAAGTTTGTTTATTAGGGGGATTTATGCTATTAAATTTTGGTGATAAAGGTTGAGGGAGTGGGGAGATAAAGGGGGTTGTGTGTATCTCTAGTGGGATCAAACTTAATGATGAATTTACTTGTTATTAGTTTTATAAAAACCCATTCCTACCCTCAAAATTAAGCTTTTTGCCATTTTATAATATTTAAAAATATAAAAAGTTTTAATAAAATATGATAACAGGTGGTGTCACCGAATGTTGCCAGGAAAGTTAAGCAACTCATTGCTGGATTTTTAAAAAATGGCAGAACATATACAAAATTTATTACACAAGTAAAATAAATATTGATCAGATAAATGCTCGTCTCAATAATTTTTTTCTGAAAATGCCTCCATTAATCTGTGACTGACAGGATCAGCAACACTGACTAAAACAACAGAAAATAAAAAACGAGGAAAGAGCTGGCAACACCACTTTTAGATCTTCTGAGTGGACAAGAAGGACAAGTTAGACCACATGGCTGGTGCAATCTTAACTTTGTTAATGTACTTTCTTAAATTTTGTTTAAAGATTAAAAGAATTCTTATTTGACATAACTTGAGTATTGCTATTTTTGTAATTGGAACCTTCTAAGCCAACAGAGAAGGCAAGCCAGACCATGTATCTAGCAGACCACAAAATGATCTTGAAAGCTTCTTGAGAAAACCTTGTTACAAAATCCAATTGACCCCTTTCAAAATTCCATTGACCTCCAGCATCTATATTGACCATGTTGGGAACTGCTAAGCTAAAGCATAGAAATTTAATACAGTCAACCCCCTATAACACTGTTGATTATTCTGTTTTATATGAATTCCATGTTGTACGAGTCACTTAGATTTTTACAAATACATGAGCCGTTCACAGCCCGGAACACATATTTGTAAAATCTAAGTGACTCATATAATATGGAATTCATATAACATGGAATAATCAACAGTGTTATAGGGAGGGGTCGATTGTACATACAAGTGATAAGAAATAATGAAAAACTTATCTAATTCATAAAAAAAAGCACAAGTCTTCTCCACAATCTAATGATGAAACTTTGACTTTAAAGTATAAATAAATACATAAACAGCAAAATTAATAATGAGATAGCTCTGTAATGAACATATAGATCATCAATAATTGATTGTTGTTATGTAAAAACTTTGTAATTTCTGGAATTAGTACTTTGTGAAATTAATTTTGGTTAATCAATTTTCAGATAACAATACTGTATTAAAATTCGTAATAAAATAATTTTGCAATTATAAACAAATTTACTAAATACGGTAATAGTTATTCAGATAACAAGAGATAGCATTATATTTTATTAATTAAATTAAACATTATCTCATTTTCTTTCTATGTATAATGTACTAAAATAATATTGTAGTTTGGTTTACTAAGATAAACTTGGCATCATCACATTATGAAATATAATGTTAAATGCAGTTAGCACAGATAAATAATCTCTTTATACATATATGTGTCTCAAATACATTTTGTTAGATGATAATCTAACAAGTAAGATTTTCTGTATAATTGTGTTTCTGTCAATTCTTTCAATGTTATTGCAAGTATGAGTAGAATACATTATAATTAAATCCATTCATAAATTGTAATGTACTAGCCAAGCAAGTGAAATTCAACATAAATTCAATGTTCAGTAAAGACTGCTTTATCCATTCTATTATATTATCATTCTCATTTTTGTCATAACACCATTTGTGATGCTAAATTAGAATAATCAATACAGTTATCAAGCCTTTTTAATACTTAGCAAGTGCATAATTAATTGGAAAAATGTTTTAATTTTGTCTACTTTTATTGTTTAGTATCTTGTTTATCAAACTTACATTTTATAATATATGGTTCCCAAATGGGTGCTACTGCTCTTGTGGCTGGTGAGTAAATTGGGGGGTAAAAAGGAGCAAATGCCAACACGGGTGCTGGAGGCAAGTATTAAACAGTGACCATAAGTGAGGGTTGGGGTCACTAACAACCTTTTCCTTTACTCTGTTAAAATGGGTAAAAAGAAACACAACATTTAATGCTTTCCAGATGTGCAGAATAATGTACAGTAATGACACAAAATGTCAGGTTCATAAAAAAGTTTGTCTAAGAATATTTCCAAGCCTTTCTCACACAAGGGAGAATAGGTTAGGGGTGTTGGGTATAAGTTTATGAAATCAAGTGGACAGTGATTCAAAAAAAGTTTGGGTTCCACTGCAGTAGACTCTCCCACTCTCTCATATCCAAACTAATGTGGGTAGGAGTGATCCATATATTAGAAAAATCCATTTATTGAAACATTGTCACGATGCCAGGACACAATAGAGTCACGTCAGTCATCTATCTAACACCTTTCGGGGGAAAATTTTTGAATTGAAATAACATGACTTCTAATTTGCATCTGAAGTTCTTATATAGTTAATCAGGACCTCCTGCCCCTAAGATTTCCATATCTGGTCTTATCTTTCGTCTATCTAACTCCATTCTTGAGATTAAGGTAAGACAGAGACAGATAGATGGACAAATGACAGTGGGAATTTATAGTTATAGGTTAAATTTATAGGACAATGGGAATTTATAGTTATAGGTTAAATTTATAGGACAGTGGGAATTTATAGTGGGATTTTTCAATTGTAGCCCAATAACAAAATATAAATTTTATGGTAAAGGACAGAGTTTGAATGAAGCTACACCAAAAGAATTAAATATAAACTTTAAAAACAATTAAAATGTAAAAAATATGTATTTTATATAAAATATTAAAGATTTGTTTCCAGTCAAATACAGTAGTGTTTTTCATACATAAAAGTTAAGAAAATGGTGGCTTCCTTTGTCGAATTAATCAGGCAAATGGCAGCTTTTACATTTCAATTTAACCAAGCAAATTGCATTTTTCACAGTTATTTTATTTTATTAAAAATATAATCAAAAGAAAAAAAAAGTCAACATTTTAAACTTAAATAGCTATTAATTTGCATAAAATATTTGTAAGAGAAAAACGAAAGAAAAATATTGTATACGAGGTGTGGCTATTAAATAATGAGACTGACACTGTAAAACATTTTATTTTGATTTCATACATATTTACTTATTATCACCTTCGTATATTGAAGGTGATAATAAGTAAATATGTATGAAATCAAAATAAGATAGAGGGATAGAGGAAGGATGTATATTATCCTTCCTCTATCCCTACAACACTCCATGTGAGTCTTCCATTGTTCGAAACAGTGCTGGAAGTCTTCTGTCAGCTCCTTCAGGAAGTGTGCCACTTTCTCTTTCACAGCTTAAATGGACTCAAATCTTGTTCCTTTTAATGCAGATTTCACCTTAGGAAACAGATAGAAATCACATGTCACAAGATCTGGCAAATAAGGTGGATGGTCTAACACTGGGATGCTGTACTTGGCTAGAAACCTCTTGACAGACAATGCAGAATGAGCCGGCGCATTGTCTTGGTGGAGAACCTATGACTTGTCCTTCCACAGTTTGAGTTGTTTTTCCTTATTCTTTCATTGAGTTCAGCAAGAATGTGAAGGTAGTAATGTTGATTAATAGTTTGACCTTCAGGAACCCAGTGAAAGTACACAATCCCATGAATATTGAAAAAAACAATCATCACTGCTTTAAATTTTGATTTGTTCATTTGAGCAAATCAAAAACGTATATGTGATAAACATTCATTGCCATACATTTCTTTCAATACATATAATTCTTTCACACTAAACCGCTGTTGGTTGCTGGCGTTTGGCGCATGCATACTTCTGTAGCAGTGTCAGTCTCGTTACTTAATAGCCACACCGTGCATGTCAGTAATGGCATATTATATTATTTTAAAATATTTTTATTTTTACGAAATAAATTATATTGTATGTTATTAATTAAATACTCTTATATGCATATTATAAAGATTTGTCATTAAGCATCAAAACGTTTGAAAATTTAATTAATTAGTTATCCCCAGCAATGAAATAGTGTAAAATATTTTCAAATTATAAAACACACTAAATGGTAATTTTTAATAACAATTAAAACTAAAATTGAAGACACTGGATTTTCAAACTTTCCATTAAAATTAACTGTTCTCCTGTGAATATGTTGTTGTTTAAGTATTAAAATAACCATAAACCAAATATGAAGTAAATGCTTATTTTCATATTTAATAAATTCAAAGACAACAAATTATTGCTTGCAATTTGCCTGAAAATATGTTGACCAGGATCAAAAATTCATATTTTACAAGATTCTAAAATAGAATAGATATTGTAACCTAATTTGCATATGTCCATGTTGTACGTTTTCAACCTTCCGTAAAAATGGAATCTGGTAAAACATTAATACATGAAAAAAGACAAGATATGTGCATTCAGAAACTGGAAAATTGCCTAAATGTATCATCACAAACCTACTAGGAAGATCAAAGACAGTAGTTCAAAATTACTTAAATGACCCTGACAATTATGACAAAGGTAAACATTGTGGTAGGCCAAAAAAACTTTCTACCAGAGATGACAGGGATATATTGAGAACAGTTACAATGTCATCTAATCATATTATATCTTCATTACATCCATGTGTAATACCAAGAACAAAGAGATATGTTCTGCAAAAGTCTGCAAATCATGCATACATTAAAATGCAGGCACAGGCAAAATTGAGAACCTCCCATAAGAAAAGGTGGCTGGACTTTGCAATGAATTATGTTGGCCATTCAGAGTTTTGGAATCACAGCATTTATTGATGAGAAGAAACTTAAACTGATGGCCCTGATGGTGTATGATACTATTGGCACGATATGTCACCTACCTCATCTTTTATCATGTTGTGTACAAGGTGAAAAATGCATGATAATGTGGGCAGCTTTCACTCATCAGTTTAAATCGGCTATTGCTTTCATTTCATTTTGTTCAATGACAGTTGACTACCAAGATATGTTGAGAAATCATCTTCTACCATTAAGAGATGAAGCAATCAATGAACAGGATAATGTGCCTATTCATAATGCAACCTCAACAATGACATGATTGTCTGACAATAATATCAATGTTTTACCACTGTGTAACCCAGATTTAAACCAGATTAAGTAAGAGCCAATGGAAAACAATTTGAGAATGTTTCTGATCTTAAAAAAGCAATTGTGATTGCCTGGGATGAAATTGTTCTAACAAATTTTACTAACTCCATGACCAATCGATTGATGTTATTTGGTTTAATGGTAAACAAAGTGTTAAACATTGTTTTTCCATGTTTTGTTTTTGTTGTGCTTTTTTTGATCCTGATTAATTTTAATGGGAAGTTTGAAAATCCAGGTGGTCTCAAACTTTTTCCAGACTGTATATATGTAATGCATGTTTAAAACCACAATTTGAGCCAATATGGCATAATGAATAACAGCAATATGTAATTCATTATGGCATGTTTAAGCTAATTTGACTTTAATTCAAAGTAAAAGTCCAAATGAATATATCAAATCTATAACATTTCAGTGATAGAGACTTGTAAAATATTCATCAGCAAAATATACAAAGGTGGAATTTGTACAATCATAAAACAATGAGTTACTGAATTAATTCTTAAAACAAATAAAATTGTTTAACATTTCTTTGATATTTAATTTAAATTAACAATCTTTCCTCAGTCACAGCTACCTACATACATTAGACATTTGCTTACTCTTATCAATAGAGTTTATTAATTTTTCTGGTTTGAATATGCAACTGTAATAAAAATTAAATTAAAATATCCAACTAGTTTGAATATCAAACTATCATTAAAAATACCAAAACTCTGAGTTTTCCTAAAGTCATTGCTTTCACAAAAGCATTCCTAAAGGCTAAACTGTGTAAGCAATAAGTTGACATATTGACTGTTTATGGAGCTCATCATCTCCAAGACATGCCGAGCTCAACGAATGATTTCCCTAAACAAATTCAACAATGATGTCATCTATTGATAAATTTCCATCAATGACTTCAGGAAAATTCTCTGTATTGGTTCAGACCCATACAATATATTTTATTGATAATGTGAATCATATCTTTAGATGATATGTATGAAGAAAACAATATGCTTTAAATAATTTTATACTTCCTGAGATACCCTGCTTTGTTCAGGAAAAACTCACATAAAAGGGATGCAGTCACAAACTCTGCACACCTCTTAAATTATGATCATAAATCATTCTCTCTGATCCATGCTGCTCCACTCCATTCCAATTTAGACAAGACAATTTGGATAAATTTAAGCCACTTTAATAGTTTGTTTGTATAATATGTTGGTAACTTAATGTGATTTGATTCAGTAACTAGAATAACCTACATCTTTTTACATGAAAATGGAATGTATTATTCTGTGTCAATGGCCAAATAAAAGATATTAAACTTAATTCAATATTTACATATTGTAACATTGATATATATTGATAACTAGATCCATTTTAACATCAATAAATAATTGAACTTAGCTGTATTCAAATAAAATTTGCATAAAAATGGCTAAGTATGAATTTACCTTTATATGTCGAATGTATTATCTTTTCCATTCTCTGATATTTTATATATAAATGAGCATTTATAAACAACAAATTGCTTTGCTAAACTTTTACAATTATTTAAAAATATAATCAGGGTAAAATATGTTTAATTAAACGAAAACGTCATTTTAACATAAAGCACGTGGCTTGTTTACATTCATTTTCCCGCCAAACACTTGTGCCAAATTAAAACATAACTACTTATCAAAAATCCGCCAAAATTACGCCGACATAAAATTAGTTCGAAACATAATAAAAACAGTTATTTATATCCCAAAATATTGATTATAATAATTATAAATTTAATTAATAATAATTAATATAACTTCAAAATAAAATATAAATTTTAATTTGTTAATTTTACTATATAATTAATATAACAACAGAGGAAGAGAAACAATAAAGTGGCGTTTGATGGCCAAATAGTCAAGGCGATGATGACCTGCTGTTTTGTGGAATCCGTACAGAATCCGCGCACATACCCCAGAAATAGCCAAGCGGTTCCTGGGTATGACCGCTTGGCTATAAGCGGTCCACTCCCTGAACACTAGGAATTCGGTCGTGGGTTAGCGCCTCGTCAGGAAGGGCTGACCACGTGGAGTTTTCCGGGTTTCTCCACGTCTGTATTGCCTGATAGAGGCCAGTTATTCTTAAAAGACATTATTCCCCGCTTACGACCATCATAAACGCATACAACTACTATTACATGACACTTTACCACGGGCGATATAGCCTAGAAGTTCATGCCCAACTTGCCGATACAAGACCCCAGGAATATTTATGGGCGGTTTGTTCCGAATATATCTGACCTAGGTTTTTATCACTCGACCGTTACCATTGTGGGCCTGGAAAACCTTATAATACACATGGTAAAAGGCTCTTTTAGTACCCACAAGGTAACAGAGAAAAAAAATTGGCATTTAAGTTTTTAAAATAATTCTATTTAAATATTTATAACTTAATTTTTATAAAATTTGCTGAATAATAATTGAGGAATAAGGGTATAGTGATTAATTAATACCCGCCATTTGCCTGGAAATGTGTGGCAATGACAAAATACTAAAGCAAACTTAAACATTAGTAATAACAAAAATAAACTCAATTATTATAAAAATATAATATTTATCGTTGGAATGAAAGGAAAAGTTACAAAAATTAATTATATAACAATTTTAATATTTACAAACCAATATTTAAATAAATTTTATGATTAATAGACAAGAAACATCGTTTCGGTATCGGGAGGAAGATTCCAGATTCGTATCTCATTTAAATTATATACAACATCAATCACGAAATTTGTAATAATTAATTAATGCCAAAATGTATTTAATAATATACAATATAACATTGCTGATAAATAAATAAAATATTCTTAAATACTGATAATATGCCATTAGCGACATATATTTTTCTTTGGTTTCTCTCTTATAAATATTTTATTTATGCAAATCAGTAGCTATAAGATTTAAAATGTTGATTTTTTTTATATTTCGTTTATATTTTTAATAAACTAAAACATATTAATTGCAAAAAAACGCCATTTTCTTACTTAAATTGACATGTATAAGTCACACTTGCCAGGTTAGTTTGACAAAGGAAGCCGCCATTTGCCTGGTTAAATATATAAGCCACTATTTAACTGGTGATATAACTTCAATGTTTTATACAAAAAATACATATGTTTTACATTTTAATCGTTCTTAAAGTGTAGATCTAATTCTTCTGGTGTAGCTTCATTTAAACTTTTACCCTTTCCATAAAATATATTTTCGTTATAGACTCTGTCTTTTACTCTGTAAGTTCCTTGCAATTTATCCCATATAGTCAAATTGAATCCAAAATTTACATGGAAGTATCTAAAAATAAATATAAATTGTATATTAATTTTATTATTTAATTAAGAAAGAAGAATTATATTTAAAATATATGTATATATAATTACTTATGATGATCATCATGAAAGAAAGAATTTGGCTGCCATGGCCATATGGCTTCCATCTTGATGCCAGAATGATCTATTATGCCATAGTAAAATACATATCCTATCACTCCTATATATGTAACTGTAAATAATTAATTTAATATAAATACAGTATAAATAATAACATAAATGAAATATATATATCTAATTTTGTATGTAAATTTTTAATTGCATTAAGTGTCATGGTTGAATGCATTTTATATGTTCAAAGCATCTTCACTGTACACTTTAGACAAATAATAATTAAGGCTATTCTGGCAGCAGCGCCGTAACTAGCCTTTTATGCACCCTAACTAAGCCCCAAAACTATGACCCAAAACTTGCGCCTTCCAGGGTCTGCGCTCTGTGCCTGGGCACCGCTGGCATCGCCCTAGTTACGGCACTGTCTGGCATTCATGCGGTCCTCTAGTTTCGAACACATTTTTACGAACGTATTATGTGTGAAAACCACAAGAAGAGGTCGAGCCTATTCCATGGAGGCACGACATAAAGTTCGGAGATAAGGTTTGTGATCATTGATTCTGGAAACTCTAAGAATTATTGCTAATTATATCTATATTTAAATTAATGAAAATTTTGCATAATTGTTTATCATCACTTATATGAACTAGTAATTATATAAAATAATACATCTTACCCCAATGCATTGGTAAAAACAGTATAGGACTCATCATGACAGTTTGCATCAGTAAAAATTCTGCAGGATGCATAGCAGTCGAAGAAAATGCAGTCGGTTGTTTAAATCTGTGATGAATCTTATGAAAATTTTTATAGAAAAATGGTAAGTGAAGCATTCTATGCACGCAATATGTCGTAAGATCCTGCGATATATATTTTAAAAAAATTAAAATAAATTTAATAAATTAATACAGAATAAGTGCTGAAGTACAATACTTACAACCCAAATGTAATATAAAACAATGGATATGAGGAAATAAAAAATTCCATAATCTGATATTTTATAGTAAATTGTTGTGTATCCACCATTCATTGTATAACATGCGAGTAATCCAGAAATTGTGGCACCTAAATTATAGGGGGGAAAGACATTTCGAATAAAGCATTAATACGAAAAATAAGTTCATCATCAGCATTACCTATGGTTAAGTTTATGGTTCCAAGAATAATTTCAAACTTTTCATCCTTCCAACTTAAGAATTTATTAGGTTGACACTTCCAATTTTCTGGCGTATTCTTTTGACGTATATAAAAATACCTATTTAAAAATAATTATGATATAAATATGGCATAGACATCATTATTGCAAAGAATACTTTTAAGTTAAATAGAAGACTTACCATTGCAAGAAGCCACACATACCAAAATAAATAATATAAGAAGTTAAGTAAGATTGTATAAAATAAATATGAATGTCGTGAAACTTTTCGGAAGTAAAATTGGGTGTACGATCTAAACCAAATTGTTTCATAAAATGTACTAAAATCATCAACCATTCTCCTGTAGAAAGATGATTTCAAAAGGTTAGAATCTTCAGTAAAATGTTTAGAAAAGCTTTTAAAAATTTACCTTTCATGCTTAAGCCAGCTAAGAAGATGATGATACTGGTTAAAAATGTACCAAAAAATCCGGATAAATTGTTTAAAAAGTAATCAAAAAGTTTTGATTGATACTCTTGTATTGTTTTAATGAACTTCATCTTCATTCTGTATTCTACTTTGCCTACTAAATTGCCTACTAAATTTTCATTCTTGACACACAAACACACACAAACACACATATATATATACAGTAAGAATTATTTTATCTTTATTAAGTGCATTTACACTTTGTAATGTATTGATATCGAGTTCGTATTATCAGTAAACTGTATTACGATATTATTTCATTGCATTATACATAGAATATGAGATAATGTTTAATGTAATAAAATATAATGTTATCTCTCTTTATCCAAACAAACGTTCCGGTGTGAGGTATATTTATTTACAATTGCAAAATTATTGTATACGAAATAAATTTTCCATACAATAATTTTACAATTGTATTTATATTGTAGTATTAGTAGTATTAGTATTAGTTAGTCAGCGTAGACTTCACTGATCATTTTAAAAATGATACCTTTCTCTCAAATTCCATACAAAGAGGATGTTAATTGTGAAGTTTAATATGTTTATTTTTGTATTTTTAGATCAAATTACAATAAAATAAACAAAAGAAAAGAACTTTCAGTATTTTACATCGTTAGAATGAAGACGAAATGCGAAAATACCGTATGGAAATATCTAATTTCATGGTTTACCGGGATAGACCGACATGCCGGACAATCTTCGAAAATACGGTACAAGAGCCAATCATTAGGCCTTTATTATATATTGACAACTAAATAGTTGAGGTTATTAAGGCTAATTGTAACCCGAAATCAAATTAAGAGCGGTTTGTCCTGGATATGTTGAGTGCCATCCTTCATCACTCATATATGTGTGACTAAACTCACAATGGGTAGTTAAAGAAGGCTTCTTAATTCTTACAGAGCTTAGTTTTAGAGAAGACCTACTCCTATAGCATCTCTTCACGAGATACTTCTGTGGTTTTCCTAGATGAAATACCAACCTTTACGTGTTTGAAAGGTTTAAATTACGTGACAAATGTGTAAAAATATGTTTAAAATTTTAAAACTGCACTGTTTTATCTCTCTTTTTTTTTAAAAAAAATCATATTAAATATTTATCTGATCAATATTTTTTACTTTACAAAAATATATTAATTTGTTTATTTTTCTATAGAAGATATAGTTAAATCTGATACATACATTGCTTGCATATTAAGATTATCACTTCGGACGTTGATAGCTTTCCTAGTTCACATGCACCTACTTTTCAGTACACGTGTACTTATCTATGAAAACATTTTTTTTTAAGCGATATTTACAGTTGAATTACGAAAAATTTAGTTGTTAATGTTACAATATTTAACTCGTTCTATTTTAACTTTAAAATAAACATAAATGTTTTAAGCATATTTATTATCTAATTACATATTTAAATCAATAAACGTAATTGAGCGCTTACTAAAACCCGAATACCGTGTATAACGCGCAGTACACTACTTACATAAACATTTCTTATAATTTCCTTAATTTAATATTACTATATTTAGAAAATTTCCTTTCTTTTTATTACGTGTTTCTGCTTATCTAAGCATCGATTTTCTTTTGGAAGTCTGTTAAGGTGGGTGAACTGTCTGTGTGATTCTCAGAGGATGATCAACGCATTCATCTGATAAGACATACAAACAATACTCAGTAACATCATCTAAGCATTAAACCTTAATTATCTTCTAACTTTATCCAGTTGAACAAACTATTTCAAAACGCCTTTATCCTTATCTCTCTAACAGAAAGTCTGATGCACTTTCTGGAAGATTTCCAATTTGCTCTGCTTGCTCTTTTACAAATGTTGACATCAATGATTGTATAGCTTAAAGAATCCCTTATAATTTAATTATAACGAAAAAAATATTCTTAATAAACCTCGAAATTTCTGTAGGAAATTAGTAAAAGAAGAAGAAGAAGAAGAAGAAGAAGCGTCATGAGTGATGTGCAAACATTTAAAAAAATCTTTAATAATTTTTCATACAACAATTTTCCTCACTAAACGTCTCACTTCTGTGCATATATCGTTTGATGATGTTAACAATAACAACAATAATTACATAAATTTATCATCATTATAATCACAATACTCACTTAGAAAATCATAATGGCACGTGATAATCAATCATACAATTTATTTTTATTTTCTGTTTTGTTAATTAAATTATTATTATTATTATTATTATATTTATTTTTATTCAAATAAACACACATTAAAATATTTTGTTTCGATCCTTTCAATACAATTAACAGTAATTATAACAACGTTAAGGAATTTTAACTAACACGTAACATATTGATTGAATGGGGTTGAATCCCACAGATTGTCTGCCAAGGTGTTGGTGCAAACNACCATATTGGCATGTAGAGTAACCTGATTATATGCCTTGTTAGCCATCATAAGTTGTACACCCGAATCAGCTTGCCACACTCTATGAGTACCTTGGTATAATTCTTTTTTTAAAATAATTTTTGTACATGTGTGCATTACGATCCTGTTTGAAGAGGATTTTTTTAATAGAATTCGAGAGCTTCGATCTGAGAAATTGTACAAGAAAGACTTTAAAATATGCTTAAATTTCCTTTATACTGGATTTATCTATTGAAAAAATTGAAGTTTTAGTGTCAAAAATAGCAAATTGTCAACCATGTTTGGTCAAACAAAAATGGCTGACAGTTTGGTTGAACGATACAAAATACATTTTAGGTTTAAAATGAGGTTTAAAATATCTGAAATGATAATAAATTTTAATACTAAATTACTTAAATTTTTAATTAAATTTCATGATTTAGGAATATTTTTAATTATCTTTCTCACAAACTTCTTAGAAAGTAGCCTCATCCCATTTAGGAAGACCAGTTTTAACAATTATTTTTCTATTAAATTCAATTAAATTTTAAACTGAAATCTTAATTTTACCTTTAAATTTTTGTTTTTTTGAATAAATAAGATAAACTGAATAAAATTTAAATTTAGAAACTCTTTTGGATAAGTTAAGGCAACATATGTGACAGTGCATGACGTCATCAAACCATATAAATGCATTACAGCATCTTAATAACATAAAATTTAGACATTTTTTTCCAGTAAAATTGCTTTACATTGCGTGTTCTTGAACATTTATTCATCCTTTCTGTAACATTGAACAATTTCACGTACAGTGAGCTTTGATTAATACTGTGCAATACTATCGGCATTGCGATATAGAAGGATATCATACTATAGAACACACTGCAGACTGCCTAACTGCATAACCATCTCCCTCTCCTGAATTAAATTCTGGTGGTTCTTCAATACTCCCTGTCCTGCTCAATGATTCTGCATGGGTGAGCCTCTGGGATCTTGGTAGAAAGTCTAGTTTCCTATCGACTTCCTTCGACAGGGCTTGAGGAGAAAGTAACTGTGGAGGCAATTGATGTTGAGTGTATTCCGGGAAGCACGCAAACATGCTTTGTTGTTTCTTTAATATTTTATGCTTTGGTAATTTTGGTTTGGGTTGTAACACCAGACCTTCACCTAGAGGAATGTTGCGCCGTCCTATTGAACCATCCCAAACTGTTCCTGCCAAGTGTAGATGTTCTCTAGAGCCAAATGGTGAAGGTACTCTACGAAAATCTTCTAGACTCGCTGCTATGTCGTGTTTTGGTGATGCAGATCTCATGTCCCAATAGAAAGAATCGAAAGACTGTTCCCTCTTCAGATTACCACGAAGGAGGACCCTCTTTGGTACTACTCCTCTCCATGAATGACCTTATTAGAAAAATTTAAATATTAATTTAGAAACATCAAATTTAGAAAATTAAAAAACTAAAAACTTACTTGGAGTTTTTGCTTCTTCAGTAACAGGTGTTCCTGGAGGAAGATCTAGAATCAACCCTTTGCTTGGGTTATTGTGAAGGCGAAGTATCGACAATAGCTGATTGTTAGTTAATTGCATAACGAGATGGCTGATATTTAAAGGAGTTACCATGTTAACAAACGACATATGCATATCTAACATGGCGATTCTTAATCCCGTTTGAACATTCCATAACTGTATCGTGTTATCATCAGAACCTGGAAGCATTAAAATCATAAGAAATTTAATAACTTAAGGCTGATTGTAGCCTCTTTAGTCATGCACGCGATCTCTAGTAGATGGTGATTAAAATGGGTTTTCTATGGAAAAATCTTTAAAAAAAATAATAATAATAATTCTCGAAAATGGAAATAGAACCAGTTTTTTCGTTAGAATTTTAATTAAGTTAATAGAAGATTTAATAAGATTCAAATTCAGGAAATTGCCTAGAATTTCTGAAAAATATTTTCCCATAGAAAAAGCATTAATTTTTAATGCCATCTGCTAGAGATCGCGTGCATAACTAAAGACTATTACAATCAACCATAACGGAAACTATATATTCAAACCTGATATGGCAACATTTCCATCAAGTGTAAGTTTTACTGATTTAACTCCCTCTCTATGTCCACATAATGTAAACGTATCATTTCCTGTGTTCATATCCCATACGATAAGGGTGCAATCCATGGAACCAGATACGACAAGAGATGGACTGTACGGAGCCACAGCAACACACGTGACAGGTTGTTCGTGTCCGACTAAAACCTGTTAATATTATGAATAAAAATGCCCATAGATGCTACAGAAACGTCAGAAAGACAGTGAGTATACCTGAGTTAGTTTTGCAGTTGCCACTTCCCAGACTTTCAACGACATATCTTGAGAGCCCGTTACTGTAGTTTGGCAATCGTAAGTAACCGTGTAACATAAAATGACATCACTGTGACTGACAGCCTTTTCAGAATCCATATCTGTCACCGGCCAGAATCTCAAGCTAGTAAAGTTGTATAGGGATTGTAAGGTAGTGTAAGGCAATGTGATGGTAACTAGTAATGAAACTTACCTATTGTCGTTCTTTCCACCTATAGCAAACACCATATTGGCATGTAGAGTAACCTGATTATATGCCTTGTTAGCCATCATAAGTTGTACACCCGAATCAGCTTGCCACACTCTATGAGTACCTTGGATATCGACAGATAATACCCTACGACTGTCTGATGTCACTGCGACTGCTATTATCTTATACTGATGTTCCTGGTAGGAAGAATGAAATATTGAAGCAAAAACACTTTTTAAAATGGTAAAATTCAATTTAAGACACGCTTAAAACTTATTAGCATTATAATAAATTGGACAGGGATGAAGAAAATTAAGTTCCTTTTTTTGCAATCTTTCCATCGCTACAGGCAAAATGTACTTGAAAAATTAATAAGAATTTTTACCCTGAAGATATCCTTTGATTAAATTATTAACTGATTATATTCTTCAGGTTATAATCGATTCTCATAAAGTAACGTTAGCAGCAGTCTAAAATATTCAAAGTGTGATAGGAATCGACAATCCGTATGATCAGCAATTCTGCACTTTATCCGCTTTAACAAATCGGCTTAAGGTATTAAAGAAGATTGTGCATGAGTAATTTAAAATTTAAAGTCTCTTCTTACCTTAAAAGTAGAGACTACAAGTCCTAGAGTTAAGCCCCATACGCGAAGTGTTAAATCTTCAGCACTAGATACCGCAAATAAGCCGTTAGGTGCGAACGCAACGCACGTGATAGCACCCGTATGTCCTTGAAGGCTGTTATGTAACTCAGAAGTGCATAGCTGCCAGATATTAACCAAACCATCTCTAGAGCCTAAAAAATAAAATTAATACTTACATTCAAGCAATAAGTAGATTGAATACGAGAACAAAGTACAGTATTTACCTGTTACTGCCATACTACCATCACGTGATACTGCTAAACAGGTAATGGCTTCACGATGATTCTTTAATTTTCGGTTTTTTGGTTTTGGTCCCATCTCCGTTTTTCTATAAAAATTCCATACCACAACCTTACAACCTCCTGCTGTTATCAAGAATCTATCTTGGTCCTGTGACTATAAGTGATACCCCTTTAACTTTTAGATTCATCAGAATTGGTTTATATGAAAGCAACTTACCAAAATATCAGTAACAGGATCCACATGGCCTGATAATGTCTGTAGCAATTGAGCAGAATGAATATCAAACACGTAACATTTTCCATTAGAGCATCCTATGACACATCTACAATTATCTCTTGCAAAACAAAGGCTTGTTACAGAATCACTGTACCCTACCAAACAGTGAATGTCTGACCCAGTTGTAAGTGATTTTACGTGTACGGTATTATCTGTACATGCCACTAGTAAGAATGTACTATCGCTTGATATATTCATTTTTGATACAGAAGAAGATATATTGATGGTATTCAGTAACAAAAAATCATCGAGGTTCCATACGCAAATCGTTCTATCATAAGAACCTATAGAGGAATTTGGATCATTTTAGAGAACTAATAATAATAAATTTAATTTTTTTAACTTACCTGTTGCAAATATATCATCTTCACTGTTAAAGGAGATGCAAGTAACAGCTCCTTTATGACACTCCATGCGTCGAATGACTTCTCCTGTCGTTAGCTTCGCTGCTATAACCACACCAGTTTCGGATCCACTAATCACAATTGTTTCGGCGTGGTTAATGGTAACGCTCAGTACTTCACTTGCGTGATGGCTACAAAATATTATAAAATAGTAATTTAAATCAATAACACATTTTACGCGTTAAAATATTGCAAAATATTTACTTGAGACGATGCTTAATCTTTCCACTATTCGTTTCCCATATGATAACATCGAAATCCTTAGAACCTGAAGCAAACAGGCGACCAGAAACAGACATGTACATGCAATTGATGGTATCTTTATGACCTATTTAAAGATATTAATTTAAAAAAAATTCTTTTAATTTAAATAAACAGTCAAATTGTACTATTTACCATCGAAACTCCTGACATCATTCTTTGATGAAAGATGGTACATTTGTAGCGAATTTTCCTGGGTGCTACATATAATATACTGGCTATCTGGGGTGGTTATCATATGCGTTATCTGTTTAGGACAGTTTAGTATTGTGGCTTGAGGTGGAAGAATCAAGTTCAACCAGTTTGTAAGTGGTATAAGAAGTTGGGAGGTGTAGTTGTTGCACCAGTTCAGAGCGTTCTCCACTAACTTGTTTAAAATTTCGGAAGTGCCGTCTATACTTGAGAAAATTTAACTTTACGTATCGATGAAAGTTTTTTTTCTTCTAGTTTTATTATAAAATCGCTACCTGAAAAAGGCTTTATCCAGTTTAGAATCTCCGTGGCTAATTGTTGAGGATCTTGACTTAATACATCAACTGACAGTTTAGTCATTTGGTACAACACTTCGACTTCCCAGTCTAAAAACTAAACAAAATACTTTAAGTAAAGGACTTTCCTATTGTCGTTTAAGATATTAATACACCTAAATATATTCTGACATACCTTGCATCTAACAATCTCCAGTAAACTGCGAACGTAACTTATGGATGCTCCTTTAACAGCAGAAAGGAGGAAGTCGAAATTGCATATTGCATCCGTCTTCAACTTCTGATAATCCCCTGATGAGGAGATTGTAATTAAAAATTCTCGTGAGGATAAATAATTTTCAGAATTAATTTCTTATAACTTCTCTTTGCTTCGTTGTAAATATAACTGACCACTTAGGAGGAGGTGGATCCACAATTCATCCACTTCTCTCAACATATCCGACCAGTCATCTTTCTTCTTTAATTTCATGGAATCTTCCAGACCTAAAACATTACCCTAGAAAAAAATAATAAATGCGTATATTTAATAAAATATCCTGTAAAAATTTCTAGAATTACTGTACTATAACAACATTCTAGATTTAAGTTTTCTAGTATTTTCTAGACTTTTTTAATTTCCGAATATAATTTCTTTAGAAATATTATTCTAGAATTATTTCTAGAATTCTAGAAATATAATTCTAGAATCCTTTTGAGTTATCTATAAGAAGTAATTGCTTTAAAAATTATTAAATCTTCTAATCTTTCAAGAAATGCCTTATGATAATTTATATTATTAAATTGTTTCATAAATGTATCAAATTCTAAACTTAATTCTAGAATATCTAGATTATATAAAAGTGTCCATATATCATTAATTTAAACTTGTTTTATGATATATAAATTTTTAATGATACGTGGAAAATTCTAGTACTAAGCTTTTAAGGATCATTTAGAAATTTTCTAGAATTTAATTCTACAATTCTAGAAATGTTCCAATATGTGTCCTTGATATCTATTTTATATATAAAGATAATAAATCATGGGATAAGAAAATCAAAATAAAAGATTTTATATAAAAAACAATATTCTAGAATCATTTTTAAGATTTTTAAATTGTTTCTAGAAAAATTATAGATATAATATCATAATTTTTTTTTAGTATTTTATAAAATTTAAAAACAACTTATTAAAAAATATCAATTTAAAAGATATGTTCTTGATTTTAAATAGTGTCTTGCCCCTGTACATCATACTTTTCCTTATAACAACAGTCGTGCCGGCCATCTATGTAACCTCACATATATGGTCTTGATTTTCATCTATCTAATACCGTTCACGAATGGACAGATAAACGGACGAAGGTAGAAGTTTATAAGTCTACAGTTTTTTCAAATTGCAGGCCAAATAATAGATTATTAATTGTATTATTATTAAACTTGTGTAAATTAAACTTTCTATATTATCAATGTAATTCTATCAAAAGGATTATAGGAAAAAATAATTTTTATCGATTTTTTCTATAATTCTGGAAAAACGTAGCAAATTTAAGTTGTTTTTCGTGTGTATTTTAAAATATAAAATAAAATTAAGACATTTTAATTACGAGAAAAACTTATTTTAGGGTATTTTCAACCGTATTTCAAAAATGAAATTAATATTCTAGAATTATCTATAATTTTTCTTTTAAAAAATTCATTCTAGAATAAGTAGAATCGACTAAAAATATTTTTCTCAAGAATCGAATAGAACTGCTCTGAATATTTACTTTTGTAGAACTGATTAGAGTTTGGTCTTAAAAGATCTCTTTTGAATTGAACAGAAATGTCATAATAAAATTTTATTCTAGAACTGGCGAGAATTGTTTGACAGAAATTTTTCAATTAGAACAGTTCTAGAAGAGTTACTATAAGACAATTTTAGAAAACTGTAAAAATTATTTGAAATTTCTTTAAGAAATTGATATTCTAGAATCGCCTAGAATTCCTATAGGAAAAATACACTGTATTCTAGAATCGTCTAGAATTCCTATAAGAAAATTACACTGTATTATAGAATCGTCTAGAATTCCTATAAGAAAATTACACTGTATTATAGAATCGTCTAGAATTCCTATAACTGAAAATTACACTGTATTCTAGAATCGTCTAGAATTCCTATAAGAAAATTACACTGTATTATAGAATCGTTTAGAATTTCTATAAGAAAATTACACTGTATTCTAGAATCGTCTAGAATTCCTATAAGAAAATTACACTGTATTCTAGAATCATCCAGAATTCCTATAAGAAAATTACATTGTATTCTAGAATCGTCTAGAATTGCTTTAAATTATTTATTTTTATTTTTAGAAAATTAAGTCTTATTCTAGAATTGACGTTAATAAAAGTACAGTATATAATTAAGTTTCAAATTTTCTCAGGAACTGTAAATACGGTATTTAGAATCTAACCTGTTGATCAATTTATATTACTATACATTAAGAGTAATTAAGGAAAATGAATTAAAAAATTAATTGTAATCCTTACAGAAGTCTTGACTTTCTCTTCTTTCTGCATAAGGTATCCTAAGTGAAAGGCACTAGATAAATCCACGTGGCACATTCGAGCATTTTCAGGATCGGAGAGGTAGCGTTGTTTAACACCATTTGTAATCGAACGATGGCTCCAATGAAAGTAAGGCCTGTTATCCACATAATACTCCTTCAGAAGCACCCCTAAACGTAGACGAAAAACAGATTTTTTTCGTATTATTAAAAGTTTGAAGAGAAGTACAGTACACGATCGATAATCGTTGATGTTTCACCAATATGCAGCATTGATGGATGCGTGCCAGGAGATAAATTCTCAAAAGCTTGATACCTAAGGGATACGAAATTCTATTATTTTCATTCTTACACGACTATAAATCTTTCAAAAAAGTTTTTTTTCATACTTTTTTGGACGAAAAGTTTCTCGTTTACTTGATATATATATATTTTTTTTGCTTAATTTTTTTTTGCTAGAAATGGGTTATTTGAAGGGTATAAGATCTGAAATTACTCATGCTTTTTTTGTAAGAAATTAAATATTTAAATATTGTTGGTAATACTTAAAAAAATTAGAATAAATTTAAATGTATACGAATACATTAGTGATTTATCCGGAGGGAATGAATGTAGGATATTTTGACGTATTTAACTGTAGGGAAGGAAAATATTAATGTCATAAATATCAACTAGACATATTATATTATATTGTTACTAAGGTAGAATTGGCTAAACTTACTTATCTTTCTTTAGAAATGGGAATTTTTTGACGTCAGTCAAGTAAAGTTTGTTCTTTTATCGCTGTTTTTCCTGTGAGAAAATATGTCTTGATGTTAATAGTTTCTGATTAGAGGAGAAGATATGAAGTTGTGAACGATGATAAATTACGACAAGTTACAAAAATCGAAGCTATGATATAGAATAAATCAGCGATGACACACGTTGTCTATCGGAAACAAAGAACTAAAGCAGAGATTGATAACAATTTGACGCAGAAAAATACAGGTTTAGTAACAAATCATGTAGGATGATCAGAAATTTTTAAAAATAATAAATGGAAAATTCACTTAACAGATAAAGAAACTTACATAAAAGATCAATAAACAACGTAGAATCTGTAAATCTATAAGCTCAACCGGAGCATCATCCTTGATTAAGTCAAGAGAGAAAGGATTTTTTTCTATAAAATCTTGTTTATACTATGGAAATTGTTTCTTAAAGAGGTTAGCAATGATATAACATTGTTTTTTTTATAGATAAATTATTTTTTTTATCGATTTAAAGAGCTGTAACTCGAAGTAAGTGATGTTTGATGTTAATGGTCGAGACTTTTAAAAATTTTTTCTATAGCTTTTCTTTCAATATCATGATACAAATGTTTGAGGTTCAGGAAGGTAGCTATGTCAGAAACCATATTGACATTCGATATCTAACAGAAGTGGAAAGTTGATGGCATTTTTCATGACCTTAGAAGAAGAAGAAGAAGAAGAATTTTTTCGTCTAGTGATAAAGCAATAGGTCGATATTTTGGTATAAAGGATTGCCTACATTTTACTTTTTTTTCTAATGGAACGTTGGCCACTTTCCAGCAATTGTGAACACGAAAATATATATAAAAAATCGTTGGAGAAATAGAAAAATACACTAGAGATAGGCGTTGTTACGGTTTGATCTTATAACTCTTTTTTTTTCGATATTATTCTGCACTTTACGTAATAGGAAAAAGTTGATATGGAAGAATAGATTTTGATGCTTGTGATTAATAATTTTCAGGGTGTTTCTGACAGTTTTATGTTAGTTTGATCTATCAAGAAGAAGTGTGAGGTGATAAAAGATAGTGAAATTTACTCCTCCCCTATTTATAGTAGAGTGAAAGCATTAAAGAAAGTTAGATCTATAAAGAGTTGTTTCCTGTATAAAATTATATAAAAATAATAACTTTGCTTCATTCTATAATAGTTTAAAGTAGGAAAAATTACTGCAAAATATAATAGAAAAGTTGACGAAGTTGTCATCTTCCAGCTTTGTAACTCGTAAAAATTTAATAACAATTTTCAATCTTTTTCTCTAACTTCTGTGAGTTATTAATAAGTATTTTTTTTACAAAGAATATGCTCAAAATATTAATTTATATGAATATAAGTGAGTTACAACAAGTTTAGAAGCGATCTAAGAGAGGTAACACGAGTTAAATTACTGTTAAACTAACTTAATTTAAACTTAAAAGAACTCCAGTTTTGAGTAATTAAATAGTGATTAAATTCAATTAATTTTAGAAAATATTAAGATATTTTGATGTAATTTAGTAATCTTTTATACATAACTCTCTATGGAAAGATAGGAAGACACGTGTTGTCAGCAATCATCTCTGGAGGTTTATAGTAGGGTCTATCGTAGGTCCTCTATCATCCAAGCAAATATGGTCCAAACAAAATTTGTTAGGGGGTCCTATATTTGTTAGGGGGCTTATATATCACCTATAATTCTCATAGGTGATATATAATTACAGAATTTCTATTTAGAAGAGAAGGAACATTAACTAAGAGAAAGAGAGTTACATCTTTAGTATGTCAAAAATGCCTAAAATCTTATTAAGTCTGGATAATGTAAGATCTGTAAAGATAATTTAAACATATTTTTGATTTAATTCTACTTAAACAATCAGCAAAATTGGTTAAAATTCTCTAAAAGTTAGTAAATATTTATCATGGATTAAACAGAATTAAATCAACGTTTAAAATTATTTAAACCGGATTAAATAGTAATAAGCTTATGGAACCATAGAATTTTGATAGGTTAAATGATAGTTAAAGACAATTAAACAGCTTAATATTCATTAAATTGCATCAACTGCCATTAAACGAGTTAAAACTTAAATGCGATTCAATAAATAACGAAATTTAATCAATTAATTTTATTTAAATAATAAACTAAACGTCTTAAAATAACAAAAATTTATAATAATGTAAACTATTTTTTTTTTTTAATATTTACGTTAATTTAACTGAAAAATTATCTTTGAGAAATCCACTTAAACCGATCGATAGAAAGGATAGCATCATCTGACACACACGTATAATGAAGGAATTTATGAAAAATTCCTGCACTTTATTAATCGTTTCAGCATTCTTACGTGAAAAAGATTGAAAATTCTTTACAATACAGAAATTTACTTACTCATATCATTCTTAATACCGAGCCAAACAGTTGAAGAAAAGTCTGCTTTCCTGTTATCTTCATAATTGCTACAAGGAGGACCCTGATACTCTAAAGAAGACAAAAGTTCCAAAATTTCTAACTCTCTCAAGCCAAAATTGGTGCATGTTAAGTAGCAGGCTATCTTACGCACGGGTACTGTCCCGTGTTTATCCTCAATATCCTTTAATATCGAGAATGTCAATTGTTCGAGTGTCTGAGGGACATCACTATCTTGTATGTCCTTCCAAGATGTCCATTTTTTAGCTTGATGAGAAAGTAATTTGACATAAAGAGGGCATATGAAATGTTCTGGTAATCTTCTCTTCACTTCTTTCCATTGTTCGGATGTCAACATACATCTATCATCTTTTAAATTAGATTGAAGCATGCTAGATGCTGAAGTAGTACTCAGAGATGATAAGTAGACGTAAGCATCAGCTGATGATAATCGAGATTTTAAAAGTGACAATACGTTTGAAGATTCTTCGGCTACTGAACACACTATGTGGACGTTGCTAGGGAGGTTCCATGGTAACCATCCCAAAATGGCTGCTTGGTTATTAGTTGCTGATCTAAGTTCGTGTAGATCATCAAGAACGATGATGAGATCGCTGGTAGTTGTTTCGACCATCTTTAACAAGTCTTGAAACCAGATGCTGAGCTTTCCCAACTCGTAACTGTAATGGTGGGGTGTGATTTCGAAGCCAAAAACTAGACTTATATGAAGACACAAGTTCCTTAATAGTTCAGGGGTGAAAGTAGAGCACGGGCTATGACCCACGTGGCGTATTATTCTAACTACATCGCTCCCTATCCATTCTGTAGTATACATGAATACCTGAAACAGTAATATTTATAAACTTTGTTAGAGGGATAAGAAATTATATAAAGAATTTAATACTTACTCGAGAGAGGAGAGTGGATTTTCCGCATCCTTCTTTACCATAAACTATAATAGGAGTGTGACGCAATCTTTCTTCTTCTCCTAGTACTAGCTGTTGTATTTGTAGTAGAGGGCCACAATCACTATCCAGGGATTGAGATACACCTAATACTTTTAAGTATCTCCTACTGTTGCATAAATGTGTCTGAGATTCTCTTACCACCTCCTGTTTACAATGCAACAGTTTAAACATCCTTTTATTAATGTTTTACTATTTTTATATCTTTATATAAGCGTTAATTATAAGGAAAAATAATATTTTTGTGTATTAATCAATCTTAAATGGAGCTCACTTATCTATATTTATAATAAAACAACGATAAAGTAGGTAATGGTATTCTCTCTTTTATCCTTGTTTTCCTAACAACCATAGAAAGATTTACAGAAATATTGCAGTTTAAAGCAGTTTTTATATAGAATTATGGAATAAAAAATGATTATTATAGATAATTATGAGCTATATTGCATTTAGAAGGATAAACTAACTCCTATCTAAAAGATCTATTGACTCATTATGAATAGCTCCATAATTTTCTACATTTTTTACGAAATCGCAGGAAATGTTCGTTAAAAATGTAAATTATACATTAAAAAGTTAATTTTAATTTTCTTCAAAAAAATGTAATGTTTTTAATAATATATTATCGTATATTTCCTTATGTTACCATAAGATATGATGCTTAAGATCTCCAGGATCTTCTAAGATGCTGCATCTTAGAAGATTCTAGAGACAAGCCTTGAAATTTTATCAATAAATATGATTAAAATCATACATTTTCTATAAAAAAAATCAAAATTTAATGTCACCAAAATCAAATTTTAATTTTAAAAATTTATGATGAAAATGTTGCTTAGAATAATACATCTTAGAGAATGCTGAAGATGAAGTTTAACATTTTATCAATAATTATATATTCTTATCTATGAAAAACGAAGTTTTAAGTTTACAAAATTGAATTTTAATTAAGGAAATCGACTTTTTAAAGTACAGTACATACCTGAACAGCTTTTCTTACATGAGGTGGAAAAGTATCCCAGTTGGGAGTAATGGCCGTTGTTTCATCGATCATAGTTTTTAAACAGTTAACAATAACTTCTCCAAATTTTTCTAGATATCTTGCATGCTCTTCTTTTTCCGGATTGATGAATCTATCCTGGGCATTCACACTAACCGGTAGTAATAAAATTGCTTTATTAAATCTTACTAGATTTTCTAATTTAAAAAGTTTTTACCTGAAGTAATGAGTATTTCTTCTGTTAACTGATATCACAATATCATCAATTAGTGATTGAAGACCATTAAAGCTCTCTTCTTCTGAATTATCATCTTGTAAATCTTTATAAATAAAATGATAAATTTTAAGCTTAATTTAAAAATTCGATTTTTTTTTAAAATTAATTTTTAAACACTTTATTACCTTCAAATTGTCGTACGATGCATAAGATACGGTGTTGAGCTGTGTTTGATAGTTTTAGAGCATGAAGTAATTGTGTATGGACTCCTAAAGAACATAAAGTTAATCAAAATCTTATCAGAGATGCTAAATTTATTCAATTTTGTTGTATTAATTTATATTTTTATCGTGGAAATCCATTTATAATAATGCTAAACTTGTCATTAAATTTAAGAGTTTAAAATAATGTTCATTGCTCTTAAAATGGTTTAAAAATTGTGTAAGAAATTCTGTAGTCAATTAAGCAAAAGATGTGCTTAGAATTAACTTAAAAACAAACCTGATAGAGAATATTTTCTGTATACTTCCTCACTAATTCGTCCCTCGTCTTTAGCAATCCTCGCTCCGTAACGAAATATTGTAGAAAGTTGTTTTTGTTCATCTATCCAACCACGTACATCAGAATCATGTTGAATTCTGCTACAATTATAGGACCTCCTACGGGGTTAAAATTAATCGTAAGTGGCCAACAACATTCCCATTTCTTCCACACAACAATAGATACGTTCAGAAAGTAATGAAAGTGAGTTATATCTCTCCTCCACTTTACCTTATACTCCATTTCTTGTACTTGCTGTGAATGGATTGTAACACGTAAGCAGCAGGAACTATGTTGTTATTAACTGCATACCATTGATCGAGAGTTGAAGTATCTAAACCAGCATCAGCAGCTGCTTCGTATATGGCACTATATTCAGTAGCTTCTACAGATTTAGGCAATGGATAAGGCTTGTACTTGGAACCAACGAGGCACTAGTTAATATAAAGGAAATTAAAAGAAAATCTCCATCTTTTCCAGCATCCGGGATGAGGAAGAGAAGTTTACCAAGAAGAAGCATCCGAAGGAAAGACGATGACATTCTTCAATTTCTTGTAATTCTTGATGGAAAAGATTTGGATCTAAAGTTGAATCGACGTCGTTACCTTGCTGACAATCTAATAATTCCACGTCTATTCCATTTGCTGTGCAATGACGCTGTAACTCTGGCAGCACTACATCGTGAAGATGTCTTCGTTCTTGTTCGAATTCTATAAACAATAAAAAAGAAAAGTTAAATATACCAAATTTTAAAATAGATTTTAAAAAATAGCGCCATTTTTAATCTATTTAGAATAATTTTAAGCTTAAATTATTAAAAAAACCCTCTGAGAATCGTCTTTGAAATACGTGCGATTTTAGTTTCTTAAGCTTGGAAAATTGTAATTTTCTCTTATTTTTACTTTAAAAAAATAAATAAGAATTAAAAAAATATTAATTTAAACTATGAAATTAAATAAAACATTATTAATTTAGTAGCAATTTAATTCGTTGTTAAAATAGACAAAGATAATTGTTACGTTTGATAAAATTTACAAGAGATTATTACGTGATAATCGCTCCCAATAGTGCAAAAATGCTACTATAGTAACAATTATTAAAGAGAATACTATGAATTATGTTACTATAATAACAATTAGACAGCAAAAAACAATTATAACAACAATTAAACAATGCTACTGTAGTAGTAATTTTTACATTTTTTTTTATAGAAGTACTTTACAGTTATTGAGTTTATTTTTTAAATGAATAATTAAAGAATTTAATTGTATTTTATTGTTACTGACCTGATTTTATTGAAGCTAAATATATTTTTAAAAGTTTCGAAGGAGGATCTGGCACGCTAGTGACGTTTCCATGCAATATCGGTTGTAACAAATCGTCCTGATATAGAGGAGAATAGGCCATTTTCTGAAGATGATAATGAAAATCACATTTTTTTTATCCTGTAATAGATTATAATTTAAAGTTAGTATGATGCTATTTTAATATTAATACATTAATAACAAGTAAAATCTTTATGAAGTACGATCCACGACACGCGATCCCCTTTATCTTCCTACTCCCTCCATCTTTAACTATCAAAATTTAATAGTATTAATGACCCTAATATATAAATCTACCTACAAAATGTCTATCTTAATGGTAATTCTGTCACATAAAAGTAATTATATTTAAAGATAATGAAAGTTAAGTGATAATTATGCGAATTGTGATTTTCTTAGAATTAAAATTTAACAATTTTATTTAATAGCTTATATATATATTTGGGAATTAATTATTATCTAGGTAGTATTATCTTTTACTTAATTAAAATATAAGCAGCTTAATTAATTAAGAAGGTGATAATGCTGTATTTCTCTAAATAAAAGCTTCAAAAACATTTAAAATAGTTTTTGAAGCTTTTATTTGATATTTCTATTGAAGCTTCCTTTCTAAATTTTCTTTTGAAGGTTATTTAATGATATAAACTAAATTAAGTTTACTAAAAAAAATAAGATATTTTATTTTAAAAAAAAATATCCACTCGTAATTCATCTCTAGATAAGATTTTATTCTTAATTATTATTAATTAGTTATTTAAGAATTTATTAATTTCTCTGTAATAATTTTACATTATTAATTTTATATAAGTAGCTTTAATAATTAAAAAAAATAATAATAAAGGTTTTTTTTTCTTGAACTTTTTATATTTAAACATCTTAAAACACGTTTGTAAATAAAGATGCAATTAAATAAATAAAGCTGATTTTTCGAAACAATTATTTAGTGATCTATTTAATAATTATAACAATATTTGAGCAATAGATAAAGATAATTTCTATTGTTTACTTAATAATTAAGCTTAAATATTTCTTAAAAATAACCTTAAAAAATTAATTTTTCTAAAGAGCAATTCATGATTGTTTCAGAATGAAATCTTTTTATTCTCATTTCAAGAAAATTAGTTTGAATTGAAGTTGAAATTTAAAATATTTCATAGTGAAACTTGCTTACCTTCCCTCGCAGCTAAGACATCGGACAGGAAGATATTCGGAATGGTAGTCAATGCCTGGCGCTTAGGAAGATATGCCTGCATGATCTCCTGATCTTTTTTCTAATCAATACAAATTAAGTAAAATTCAGCAAAATAATTTTCAAAAAATTATTAGTGTTTGATAATCTTAACAATATAGAGCAAACCTTTAAATAAGAAATATGAACTAATCAACTCTGANATAATAATAATAATAATTTATTTATATATAATTTTTTAATTAATTTATTTCTAAAATATTCGAATTTTAAGAAGGAAACATAATCGTTTAATTTCTTTTTTATTAATTAGATTTTTAGAAAGAATTGTTTAATAAGAATTGTTTAAAAATCAATTTTATAGTATTGTTAAAATGCATCAGTTTTTTTATTTATCAATTTTATAGGGAGATTTGTGCATTAGAGCATCGATGCTATTAAATTTTGGGGTTAAAGGTCGAGGAGTAGAGAGAGATAGAGGGGTGTCGTGTGTCGTATCTCGAGTAGGATCGGAATTAATAAAGATTTTACTCGTTATTATCATTTAACATTTATAACACTCTTCTCTAACCTCAAAATTAAGTTTTTTAAAAACTGTTAAAATTTCCACTCTCGTCCGTTTGTCTGTCTGTCTATCCTTTCTTAATCTAGATAAATTAGTTAGATAAATCAAAGTAGAGACCAGATATAGAAATATTATAGTTAGGAGGCCCAGATTATTAATTATATACGAAATCCTGGCTTGTACCGGAAGGCACGTTATTTCAATTCAAAAATTTTCCCCTAAAAGGAGTTAGATAAATGACCAACACGACTCTATTCCTAGCAGGAAAAGTTTGTAATAATCATATTCTTTATTTATTTAATTTAAAATATATGTTCTCTATTTCAAATTAGTATTGTCTATATCAGTGATGGGCAAACTTTTTAAAGAGCGGGCCAAAGGAAAAGAAGAAAACTTTAGGCGGGCCAATATAATTGTAACCTAGCGCTGCATCTGAAAATCCAGGTGGCGCTATAAAAACATGTGCAGGCCGTCCGCCATATTTCTTTTTCTCTCTTTCGGCTACGCTACGCACGACGAGTGGATGTTCTGTACCGAAGCATGCTTGTAACCGATCGAGCTTTTACTCAATAAGTGTAAAACAAAATTTTGTACATGATTGTAAATAAACTTTCATGGTGAGATATAAAGCTTCGGTTATTTTATATAATCAACGAACACTCAAGTTAAGTGGTGCATTAACCACCACAGCCTGTATTCTTTTTTACTCGTCAGATTAGGAATAATGTCGCACGGGCCGGATAGAACATTTCAGGGGGCCTCATCTGGCCCGCGGGCCGTAGTTTGCCCATCACTGGTCTATATCATACTTTTTCTTATAACAATAGAGTCGTGCCAATCATCTACGTAGACTGGAAGTTCGTATATAGTTAATAATCTGGGTCTCCTGCCTCTAATCTTTTCATATCTGATCTTGACAGACAGACAGACAGACAGAAAGACGGAGTAGGAATTTATATATTTGCAATTTCTAAATTGCAGCCAAATTAGATTAACGATGGAGTGAATATAAAAAAGTTATTAAATAAACACGAAAAGAGCAATTAGAGAGATTGTTCAACGATGAAAATCCTACGAAAATAAATAAATAAACTAAAAATCGCTTATTATTTTCTTATTAACATTATAAATATTTGAAAAAATAACATAATAATATGAATCTTTATTATTTCAAACGCAAAATAATAAGTAAATAAATTCAAGGATTAAAGAAAGATCGTTTTGGAGATACATAAGCCAGCTTTTATATAAGTATATATAAAATTACATATAAAAAGTCATTTGTTCTGCATTTTCAAAATTCAAGCAAATAAAACACGTTTGAAATTAGACTTATATAAATAGAAAACTTCAATGGTAAAAGATAAACATAGTTTTGTATATCTAAACCAATTATTATTTCTCTCTCTTTCGTAAATGAAAGTATAAGAAAATTTTCTTTCGTATGTTTGCTTTTCTTTCAAAATATATATATATATATATATATATATATATATAATCATTTTCGAGTTTTCTAAAAGAAAAAAGAATTTAAGTTTGTTATAGTTTGGTCGGTTTATTATTATAATTACATTTGATTTTTTTTGAAAATTTGTTTAATGATCTCTTCTACAATGCCACGAAAATTATCTTTTTGCAGCAATATTATGTAACTGATTTTTATTGAAACTTTTCATATAATTTTCTTTTTCAACAATGTCATGAAAAGCATTTAAAATACCTTTCATGATCAATTTCATAATAAAATTTAAATAATTTTTGCTAAATGATCTTTTTCAACAATGTCATAAAATTGATCAATTTTTAATAGTCATGAAATTAATCACTTTCAACAATGTGATGAAATTGATTACTTTCAACAATGTCATAAAATTGAGCACTTTTCAACAATGTCATGAAATTGATCACTTTTCAACAAATATCATAAGATTAATCACTTTCAACAATGTCATAAAATTGATCAATTTTTAATACTCATGAAATTGATCAATTTTTAATACTCATGAAATTGATCACTCTCAACAACGTCATGAAATTGACCACTTTCAACAATGTGATGAAATTGATCACTTTTCAACAATGTCATAAAATTGATCACTTTCAACAATGTCATAAAATTGATAAATTTTTAATAGTCATGAAATTGATCACTTTCAACGGACATAATTGATCACTTTCAGCAATGTCATGAAATTGATCACTTTCAACAATGTGATGAAATTGATCACTTTTCAACAATGTGATGAAATTGATCACTTTCAACAATGTCATAAAATTGATCAATTTTCAACAACGTCATGAAATTGATCACTTTTCAACAATGTCATGAAATTGATCACTTTTCAACAATGTCATAAAATTGATCAATTTTTAATACTCATGAAATTGATCACTCTCAACAATGTCATGAAATCTATCACTTTCAACAATGTGATGAAATTGATCACTTTTCAACAATGTGATGAAATTGATCACTTTCAACAATATCATGAAATTGATCACTTTTCAACAACGTCATGAAATTGATCACTTTTAACAATAAATTGATAATGATATTCATCAGCTACCACACCAGATATTGAGATGATACTGAATGATTTTGAAATTTTTGATAAATGACTTCTTTCAACAATGCCATGAAGTAACAATGTCGTGACATTATTAACAAATGTCAAAAACAAACAATTAAAATATTTCTTGTTCGTCAATTTTAACAAAGTTTGAAAATTGAATTATTTTCCTGTTGAAAATTTTGCTAAATGCCCCTTTCAAACAATCGTAAAAATCGCTCTGATTTAAGAAACGACATTAAATTTATTTTAAAGATTGTTTTCAACAACGTCATGAAAGTGATCTTATTTAAACAATAGCGTGATACAGTAGAACCTCGAAAACTCGATCTAATGTGGACCGAAGGGTGGCCGAGTTTGTGAAAATGCCGAGTTATCGGGAATGGGGTTAAAAAAAATAAGTACGAGTATTTCCTCAGAAAATACTGTACTGTACTTGTACAGTATTTACTTGTACAGAATATAACAGAGAATAAACTGCCCAAATACCCTTAAACAAAGGAAAAGTACGTCCTTTATGAAGGCATAGAGCCTTTACTACATGAAAATGAAAATTAATGAATACACTGTGTACAGTAATTTACCTGATAAGACAGACCTCAGAAAAATACTTTATGAGAGCTTTTATACTTTTATAAAGCTGTCTATAATGAAAATTAATTAACTAAGGATTTTTTCGCCCTGCCAAGGTGTGGACCAGTTATCCGGAGTGCTAAGTTATCGAGGGACGAGTTTTCGAGGTTCTACTGTATTGACATTAAATTAAATCATTTCCTTTAACAATATCATGAAACATATTTAAATATTTTTAAATTGATATTTTTAAATGTTTTATAAACGATCTTTTTCAACAATATTATAAAACTGATATTTAAAAAAAAATTTGCTTTAATTTTCTCCTTTTAACAAAGCTAAGAAACTGATCTTTTTTAAAATTTTCCTTTATAATTTTTTTGGCAATGTTATAAGAATGGATTCTTTTTTACTCTAAAAAAATCCAAAAATTCTTCATTCAAATAATAGTAAAAAAATATTAAAGCTTTTTTTGTGGGATTTATCAAAAAAATTCACTCTGTGAATTACATTTTCAGTTACATTATTAAGTAAAAAAAATCGTATTATAGACATTTTTATCTAAATCTTTTTATTTCTTGTAGTAAATAAAATTAAATTTAGAGCTTAAATTTAATGTTCAATTGACTTAAAATGTAATAAAATCTTTATATACCGTATATATACTGTATATGCTTATTTTTATAAATTGAAAGTTTCTTAGATTTCTGTTTAAAAAAATATCTTAACAGACTGAAACCAAATCTTGGAAAGCTTATAAGTTAAATTTTCTAAGAGATTTACAAGAAACAAGGATTTTAAAGGCTTATAATGAAAAAAAAAATTGGAAAGAAATTTTAAGCTTTAGAGATTATCATTGTTTTCTTTAAATTTCAAAAAATATATTTTAAAATTTAAAAAAAAAATTGTTTGAAATTACGAGAAACTTAGCGTAAAAAGTAGTAAAAATTTTTAAAATTTTACTATAAAAAAATGTATATAAATAATTGTAAAGTTTTAAAGAAAAAACAAATTTAAAAGATGTAAAATTTTAAATATATATTGTTTGACATTTAATAAATATATATTTATATATAAATAAAAAAGAAGCTGTCCTTCGAGGAGATTGCTGATTTCTACCTCAAAGCTATGTAAAGTCATTCATACGGATTTATTTTATTTCTTATGCACTGTTGCCTCAGATAATGCAAAACATAACTGGAAAATTCTAATTTCCATATATAAAAAAACAGGAAAAAAAAATCCATAACATATCTAAAATATACAATTTATTTCTAAGAAAAGAAACATATATTTATATATATATGTACTGTATATAGAAAGGCGTGTATATATTTTTCTAAAAAATTTTTTATATTCATTCTACTAGTTTATACATTTTTAATTATTTGATTATTTATAAAAGAAGGAGAAGAATAAAATAGAAAATGACGTACCTGGAACGTCGAGTGAGCTGTTGTGTTTAAGAAATAACATGTAAAACGATTGTAGAGGGTAGGAAATGACTGGAAACACCCACCAGGTAGGCTACAGTTACCTGGGCAACTACCAGGCAAGCGCTGTTGGTTTATACCTGAGCAACCTAAAGGTGAAAAAGGTGCGATCGAAAGTTTGCCAATATTCCAGTAGCTGGGTAAAATATTTGTTTACGGTGACGTTTCCATTCTAAAGTGTTTCACTAGTGTTGAGAAAATACCAGGAATGCGCGCTTCTCTTCAAAGCACGCTTCTAAATCAATAACGTAGATGCGAATTTTAAAGATAGATAAACGTTATTTTTAATGACTTAAAACCATGTGAAATCTCCTTTAAAATAAGTAATTTAACTAAAAGTAACCTTACTTAATCTATTTTTTAGTCGTTTAAATTATTTTTTTTTAAGCTTTATCTTAGGTATTGTCTACTTTCTTTGATATCTTTCGACGTTTGTTTAAGTGATTAATGAGGATTATTCTGAATATTTTAGAAGAAAATTGAATGAGAATCTAATTTAAAATTTATTAGTAGAATTCCAAGATAATCACTAAATTTATTAGTTGGTAGAAGATAATTTCCTTCTAAATGATTTAGTTGATTGGAGTTGAGGATGATATATAATTAGTTGGAATATTTATTACTCTCTCAGCATTAATTATGAGGATAGATGTAAGTAAAATATATCTTGAGGTCGAAAGTGATGAAAATTCTGAGTCTTTTTTTTATACAAATAAATTTCTAAGAATTAGATAAAATGTATAAATATTTTAATAGGTTTTTAAACCATTTATTTAACCAGTATTTCTGTAATTTTTTTAAGAAAATATGTCATAAGGAGCTGAAGGATTGGTAAAATTAGTTAATGTGTAATATTATCTATATTATCTGGCTATTTAGATAATGTAGACAAGAGAGATAATCTTACAAATTCTTTAAAAACAGATAAATCACATAATGTTAAAACTACATAATGCCTGCTTATAACTTATATAATTACCTATAACTATAATTGTCCATGTAACAAGCTTGTAAAATTACATCACATATACATATGTATAGATAAGTAGATAAAGTTATTTACATTTAATCTATAATTATAGATCATCTCATAAAACAATGTCCTATAGCAGTTTATCTGATTAAAGAAAACAATTTTTAATAATTATCTAGGAAAATAGATAAAAATTTAAATAAAAAATGTACTTAAATTATCTAGATAATCGTTATTTTAAGACAGATAAGGTCATAAATTTGCTATATTTAAGTCTAAAAAATTTCTTGTCTTGCCAAATAAATTATATATTTGGCAAAGATACAAATGAAATTCGGTTTTCAAGATAATTAAATGATATTTCTAAAAATAAATTTATGTGGAAAATTTTAACGATAATAGGCAAATATAATTTCCTAATTCGTGGCTCATAGCATCTCATAGATTAGCCTATCAACCTCTAATCATGTCTTAGAGGATATACGAAACTTTAGGGTATACGATATTGCAGATGCCTCCTGATAATCTTTGTGTTTATCTACGTAGCTAAAATTATCCTATAACAATTAACTTTAAAATATATAATCTATAACAAAATAAATATTACGTAATAATTGATATACAAATATTTTTTCTATAGGTTATCTTCTATAGAAAACAACTTAAAGACGATTACCTATACAGTAATAATGACTAAATTATCCTCAATTGCTAATAATTTATTAACAAGATAATAATATAATATAACTAATTAATGCTAATTAGTTTCAGTTACCTATAGCTAATGCATCGAAAATAATTATGTAAAATTGTCTAGGAAGCAACTGAGATAATTGTTATAAGAGAATGTAATGTTATTTATTATCATATGTCAATAGTTAAAACTTTTTTTTCAATTTATCGTAATAAAGTGTAGGATAATTTCTCTTATTTTTTAATACAATAAATATAGATGTACTACTATACGTTATTTATCGAATTGTCAACTGGCGTGTCGTAGTAGACGTAAGAATCACGTTAAGGATAATCGAGAAATTCCTTATCATTTATTTATCTTTTCATTATTAATTTTAATATATCAATCAATTATGTAGTCTGGTAAGACGTTTTAAAAATGGAAATGATAAGAAAATGGTGTTTAAATCGAAATTATTTGACATTTGTAGTAAGGTAGACGCCATTATGTCTACCTTTAAAAAATAACGAAGTGTTATATACGGTGATTGATAGAAAAAAATTACGTCGTAAAGAACTAAAGAATGTTCGGCATTATCTCTTGATTGTGTTCTAAAAATACTGTGCTATTACGTCACAGAAAGTATTTTCTGGGATGATGTTAGTGTGAAAATATTACTAAATCATACTGTTCAATGACTCTTTTTCTTTTTAATATGGCACAGTTTTATCATTTTTTTAAAATTTAATACCTAATCATAGTTATATTTTATCGTTTAGCTTTCTTTTGTTACGCAACAATAAATATTTTCTGAATTTTAATTGTTCTTGTGACGTAATAATGCGTATTTTAGTTATATTTTTTTCAGTTTTCTACGCAAGAATGTAAATTTTTCTGGATTATAATGGTTATTGTGACGTAAGAATGCGTAATTTTAAACTTTTTTTACTATTTACGATATTGTTACGTCATATAATTTTTAATTGTGACGTAACAATAAATTTTTTCTCTTTATTACGTAATAAAAATATTTTAACATTCTAGTATTACGTAATAATTCAACATTTTATATTCTTACTTAATAATACATGATATTGAACATATTTTTCCTATTTATTATCCAATAAGCATTTTTTAAATTTGTGATGTAGTAATATAAAATTGAAATCGAACATTTTATTGCTTTTTACGTAATAATATTTTGCATTTTATTTATTTTTAATGACTGATAAGAATCAATAACATATATTTTTAAACAGTTTATTTGTGCAATAAATTTTAACTTACCGAGACGTAATAATTGATCGTGTTGAATTATTTCTTGTAACCATATTGTGGTTAATATGACGTTATAACTATCATCGAAAAGAACTTCTGAATGTACCAACCACAATTTATTATCTTATATAATGACATTATATATTAGGTAGTTAGAGTAAACTGTTTTGAACCTGGCAGGTAGTAATTACTCCCTCTAAATCAATGGTCGCTGGTTTCTAAGTCTTATCAGGTTGAAAGATATAATATACACAAGTAATGCATCACTTTTTCGCTCTTCTTTTATAGGGTAATAGTTTTTTCGTGTCAAAACAGATCAATATTTACGTCAAGTTTCCTTACTGATTTTTTTAAAATTGATGAAAAATTCCATATATACGTATATTCAACAAACATTATGCTAATTATTTAGTTCGTTAAATATTTATCGTATCAAATCTAGTTGATACATAAATATGCATTCGTGCATTTGCTCATAAATGACGCAGGATTGCATTCGTGCTCATTCTCAATAAGGATTTGCATTCTATTATTGTTGTCATTTATTATTAATGTCATTCGTTACCTTTCCTATCCAGAAAACTAACAATAACGATACATCAATCCAGCAAACAAACATTTATTCTCGTTTCATCAATCATTATCATCATAAATCTACAGGGATTTTCGGCTTTTATACATAAATTTACTATACCAAATATACTTTTTCAACTCAAATATACATAAATCGAATTATTCTGTTTAGTAATAATAAAACTTTGAAAGGAATTATATTTATATTTCATCTCATAAAAGCAAAGTTTAGAAGTGGTATAGATAGATTTATTTAAGTTTTATTTATATAAATATTTTCTGTACAAGAAACTGCCTGATAATATTTAGTATAAAGTGCTGTTTTATTGGTCATTTATTTACAAGTACTGACCTAAAATAAAGCGAAGGATCTAAAGGTACAATAAAATAAAAAGGGCTAAGTAAAGTCATGCTCTAAAGATTTAGTTTGTGTGGATGTTTGGAGCTCTCCAGACATAAATGAGCTCCTGCAGAGAGAGGAGAGAGAGAGAGAGAGAAGCTCGAGACTGACATGCACAATGAGAAAGGCTACACTACTGTCATCACATGTTTATCCGGAACTCTCGAGACGTAAATGATCTCCAGTAGCGATTTCTATATCGAAATGTGCAATATAATCTGAAACACTCGAAGTGGAATTGATTTAATGTGGCACCAGCAGCTGACGGTTGTAGTTTATAATTAAAAAATAATTCGTTTGTTTTCCGCTTCTTAGTTATAGATCGAAATATTTAAAATAAGTTTGACTTGTATTGTTACAATTAGACGTTCAGCAAAAGTAGCGTTGTAGTTAATGCATTCAGTTTTAGAATGAAATATACAAAATAATTTAGCATTAAAGTTACACGTGCAAATCTGGAATGCAATGGACAAAAGCAACAACTCGTGCTTTTAGAAAAAAATAATGTCACGTTACAGTAACACGTGCAAGTCTAGAATGAAATATATGAAATAATTTCTCGTTCTCATAGCACGTGAAACATTAAAATGGAGTGTACAAAATAATCTGGCTCATAAAAAAACACGTGTTCTAGAATGAAAAGGTTATCACGTTGACATGAAAGAGACGAAAGATGATTTCGATAAAATTATTTTATAAAATTCAACTCCAACTTTCAAAACGAACACGTGCAAAAATATCTAAAGTAAGATTTTAGATTAATGTATATAATGGAAAGAAGCTATTTGACTCGTGTTTTCTTCATTCTCGAAGACAAAAGGTTGTTGTAGCACGTTTTTGACTAAAGCTACTTAAGCGTTTTCTCTAAAAGCTTTCAGCAGATGACCTTTTATACAATGATTAAATTCAGTACAGTTCGTCATATCAAGCAGAATTAAGACATTAACTAATTTTCTAGAAAGTTACGATTGTATAAATTAAATATTTATTTAAAACTAGAATATATCTGTACGTATGAGCTAAATATAAACGTATGTACTGTACGTGTCACGAAACTAAACTCAATAGATTTAATCATAGAAACATTTACATCAAAACAAACAATTTAAGATAATTAAATATAGATTAATCTGTTTATATTTTTATTTTTTGCTAACAGGAAGTAAAGTAATTAAAAAAATAATA